TTTCCATTTGATGTAAGCATATCCTTATCTGTCGTTTCTGTTATATCCAAAGTAAACAAAGAACCAATCAAGATGTCTATTCTTATGTACAATATTTTATGGCAAATTATTTGGTCCAGCTCCATTCATATTTCTGTATGAATATGTTGTCAAATGAATTATTCCTCCATTTCCTACCCAACCAGCTAAAGTTCTATCTCCCAAATCTCTGTCTGTTGATGGAGTTGCAATTTATACTCTGAAAAGGTTATGCCAAGCCTATTATGGAGTAGGTTATGACCATTTGAACCAACCAGAAAAGGCATATTCTTTAGGGAAAGCAGTTTCTACTGTTGTCTTAGCTGGATCTGAGTTAACTTATCTATCAATTTAGGAATCAATAATTCTTGTTGTTGAAAGTGGAACCTTTCCTCCTTTGAGTGGAGATGGTTTATCAGCAAAGACTTTCTTGTGATTATCAACAGAATCAATGAATGCTCCTACTGATGTTGAGTATATAACTTAAGTGAATTGTCCATTGAAACCTGGATATCTATTTTAATCCTTTCCACCCAAAATAAATTTAAGATATTTCAAATCAGGATGTTTAACAGGGAATTCAGCTGATACAGGATCTAAATCACCAAATTTAACAATTGCAACAGCTTTTCCTGTATTTGAGTAAGAGAAATAGAAATGTGTCCAAAGACCTTCAATATCAGCAGGATAGTTAATGTTTCTGATCACATTTGGATTAGCTGGCTAAACATTGTTAGTAGTAAAATGATAATATCCTTATCCTTACCAGATTGCTAAGATTCTGTCTCCCATTCTAATATTATCATAATTTTCATGTTGGGTCAATCTAGCCATAAAGTACCAAGGAGCATTTTTACCATTATGTAATTTGACTGGATAAGCTGTTAAAAATCTTGCCCAAAATCCATAGCCATATTCAGTAAAAGAAACTTCAGATCTGAATTCTTTGACGACTTTAGGATTATTTTCATTGTGAGCACTTGGCAATTATTTTTCACCAGTTTCATCTGTGATAGGTTATGGTTTCTTTGAATCTGGTTTTTTAAGTAATGCAGATTCTCCTTTATCAAATCCGAAAATATCTTTAGGATGTTTGAAATCAGGTGTCTTTCTGAAAGTACCACTTCCCAAAGCAAAGTTAACATATCCAATTTTACCATTAAATCCTGGGAATTGTTTATCCTTACCAACAAAGGTGTAGAAATAAGGAGTGTAGTAATGATTGACATTATTATATTCAATGGTCTCAATACCTCCTGTGAATTTCACTCCAACAAATCCTTTTTTCTCATTTTTAGAGTATCCAAAGTAAACAAAGAACCATTCTAAATGTCTATTTTTGTGTACAATATTGCTGACCATATTTGGATTACCAGCTCCATTCATATTGGTGTATGTGTAAGTTGGGAAATGGAAAATACCTCCTTATGCTGTACCAATCCAGAAAGAAAGAGTTCTATCACCTAAGAATCTATCAGTAGATGGTTTATTAATTTGAACTCTAAAAACATTGTGCCAAACTTATTATTAAGTTTGTTCCCATTTAAACCAACCACTAATTGCATATTCATGTGGGAATTTTTAAGCTCCACCACCTAATTCATCATAAATTGGGTTTTCATTGACTTTTCTTGAAATTGTATCTTCAACTAATTCATGTTTATATAGTCTATCCAAATCATGAACTGGAATAATAGTTCTAGCGATGTGATCATTAAAATCATCTAAAGTATCAAGGAAGGCTCCTTCTTTAGCAGAGAAACTAATTTGACTGAATAAACCATTAAATCCTGGATATCTATTGCTATCTTTTCCACCTAAGATGAATCTCACATATTTAGTTGTTGGGTGATTGACATTATGAATTATAGATTATGGTTCTTAGTTTCCATATTTAATGAATGCGATAGCTTTATTTTCTTAAGCACTATAGGAGTAATAAATATAAGTCCAAACACCTTCAATATCATTAGGATAATTTATGTTTTAAATAACATTTGGATTGTTTGATTTCTTATCACATGTAGTGAAATGATAATATCCTTATCCTAACCAAACAGCTAAAGTTCTATCTCCCATAGCAATATTTCCATAGTTTTAGTTGGATGTTAATCTAGAGACAAAGTACCATGGAGCATTCTTTCCATTAAGTAATCTAACTGGATAAGCAGTTAAAAATCTTGCCCAAAATCCATAACCATATTCAACTAAGTCTTCTTCAGATTCTTTGGTTTCATCAACTTTTGGCTTATTATCATCAGTAGAACTTGGAGTAGTAATACCATCATCATCATCTCCATCATCTTTTTCTTTAACTTTATCATCTGGTTATTTTCCTAATAATTGTTTTTATCCTATGACTACATTGAAAGCATCATTCTTTGCTTTGAAATCATTTCCTGGTCTAAATGCACCTTCTCCAATATTAAATGAAACTAAAGCAACATCTCCATTGAATCCTGGGAAATGTTTATCTTTTCCAACAAAGATGTAATATTTAGGAACAGTGAAATGTCTAATCTTTTCATATTCTTATTGATCCTCTGAATCAGTCCATCTAATATAAGCTTTAGCTTTCTATTATGGTCTAGAATATCCAAAGTAAACAAAGAACCATTTTGTATGTCTATTTTTATGTGGAATGTTCTTGAAAAGATTTGCATTACCATTACCTTCAAGATCTGTCATAGTATAGGTAGGTAAATGAATAATGCCTTCATCTGATTTTCCAACCCAAGCAGATAAGGTTCTATCTCCCAAGAATTTATCAGTTGATGGAGTTTGTATCTAAACTCTGAATATATTGTGCCATTCTTGTTATTTATCTGTTGGTGTCCATTTAAACCATCCACTTATGGCATATTCATGAGGGAATTTAGGAGTTGAAGTAGTACCAACAATTTAATGTACTTCTCTATCTTCAGGTTTTCTTGAGATTGGATTTGTTGTAACCTTATATGTTACGATATCAGGAATAAAGTCTTTTGGAATCCTTTTCATGGATTATAATTTTGCTTAGATGTCTTCATCATTATCAATAAAGACTCCTTTCTTGGCACTGAAATAAATTGAACTCAATAAACCATTGAATCCTGGGTATCTCTTATCATCTGTGCCACCAACAGTGAATCTAACAAATTTTGTTGTTGGATGAGTAACTTCATGTTCAACTTTCTTAAAATCATTTTCACCAAATTTGATATAAGCAACAGCTTTTTTCTTTTCTGAACTGTATGAATAATAGATATATGTCCAAACACCATCCAAATTTTCAGGATAATCTACATTTTTAACTACATTTGGTTGATTTTATGGTTTATCACATGTTGTGAAATGATAAAATCCTTTTCCTAACCATATTGCCAATAGTCTGTCTCCCATATTAACATTATCTGTATTTTTATTTGCAGACAATCTTGAAACAAAGTACCAAGGTGCATCTTTACCTTTAGTCATAAACTTTGGATAAGCTAACATAAATCTAGCCCAATATCCATATCCATATTCAACTAAATCTTCTGATCCTTCTTCATCACCATTATCAACTTCTGTAGTTCTAATAGGTTTATCGTTTGTATAATCTGATGGCTATTTCTTATTCACTGTTTCTTCATCATCTTCAGAATCTGATGAACTAACTAATGCTGAGGCACTAACAGGTTCTTCTTCTGATTCAGGAGCACTTCCTTATCCAGGTTTGATGATGACTTTATTTTCCTCATCTGTGTTTACTATGATTCCATCTTTAGAGCATGATTCAACTCTTCTTTATACATCTTAAGATTTAGAATTTATGATATTTATTGTAATCTATATGTATAATTTAAATAGATTACTGATGGTTTATTGCATTGCTCTTTTATTTATTGTCTTTCACTTAAGAGCTTATTAATTAACTCTTCAATTTTATCGCAACATTAATCTGCATCTTCTTTTGATGAGGCAGCATCTAATAAATTTAATTAACCATCTAATATATCTTGACCGTATTGTCTCCATTATTGTAATAAGGTATCTGTTTCCTACTATCTTAATTGAACAAATGCAAAAGAACCTTTTGTACTATGATATTGCAACAATGCTAAAATATTGTAATTATGTGTACTAGTTTTCTCTCCTTCTGATTTTCTGTAATCTTATACAGCAACTTAAAGCTTTTGCAAATTATCAATATCCTCATCTATTTAATCAGGGTTAGCAAGAATCTCCTGCCAAGCTTCCATAGACTTGCTCACTTATTCCAGGCCTGGAGAACAATCTAGACTACCTGTATCTAAATTATTCAATTCTTCAAGCGATTGTAATTTAATTCCGCTTTAAAGTTCAACAAATTGTTACGCTAAAAATCTATATTTACCACTTTTACCTTATAGCGAACATATCAAAAACAATAGCAATATTAATGAAGATTTCTTCATAATAATGTAAAATAATAAATGAATTGTATTTATGAAAACTAAATATAAGAATAGGGATTATTATCCGTTTTTTTATGAATTGAGTTCTGATTTTAATTATTAATATAAAATGACTGACCTTTCTAACAAATCTGTACTACTCATTGTAATACTTAATTAATTCAAAGAAACTTTAACTCAAATTAAAATATAAAAAAAGACAAACATCTCTATCAATTAAATTTTTAAGTTATGATAGGTTTGCAAGTTAATAATATTTGGCATATTAATGAATTTAATATATTAATATTATTTATTTCCTAATCTCTAAAATTGAATTGACTAATTTTATTATCAAATTTTATATTTGAATCATAAAATTACTCACCTAATCATTCAACCTTAATTGGATAAAAGGATTACAACTTAATCTTCTCAAATTATCCATCCATTTAGTTAATTACTTCAGTTTATTAGATTATTAGTAGTTTTACAATTTAAACCATGTATATATTTGTTAATTTTAGAATTATTAATAATGATAACCTTTATCCTATTTTATTCTAATAATAAAGTTAAAATCAAATGGAAAATTATCACATATTACATTTAATAGGAGAAGGTTCCTTCGGGAAGGTTTATAAGGGAAGACTCAAAAGGAGTAATTAGATTGCTGCCCTTAAATTTATTAGCAAGAGAGGGAAGTCAGAAAAAGATTTGGCAAATTTGAGATAAGAAATTGAAATTTTAAGGAGATTGAAGCATGAAAATATCATATTATTATTAGATGCATTTGAAACTGCAGGTGAATTTTGTTTAGTAACAGAAGTAATCTTTTTGATAGAATATTGTTTAGTTTGGACAAGGTGTATTATTTGAAATTTTGGAGGATGATCACAAAATATCAGAGAGTGAAGTTAGAATCATAGCTTAATAATTAGTGAGAGCATTGCATTATCTACATTCGAATAGAATAATTCATAGAGATATGAAACCATAAAACATTTTAATTTCTGCAGATGGAGTAGTTAAATTAATAGATTTTGGATTTGCTAGAGCAATGTCAACAAACACTTAAGTTCTTCATTCAATCAAAGGAACTCCTCTTTATATGGCACCAGAATTAGTCTAAGAATAGCCTTATGATCACACAGTTGATTTATGGTCTTTAGGTGTCATACTTTATGAACTATTTGTTGGATAGCCTCCCTTTTATACAAATTAAATCTATTCTTTGATTTAATTAATTATTAAGGATCCTGTAAAATATCCAGACAACATGAGTTAAGAATTTATGAGTTTTTTAAAAGGATTACTTAATAAGACACCATCATAAAGGTTGGGTTGGCCAGAATTATTAAATCATCCATTTATTACTGAAACTGATTAAGAAAAATGTGATAGAAAGAAAAGATTATAATAATATAATTAGTGGGCAGGTGTTGAAGATGAAGTTATTGATAAAAGAAAAAGATCTTTGACACCAACTCGTGAGATTATAACTTATGATTAAATGAAAGATAATCGAGATATATCACCAAAAAGAATGCCATGTAATGATGAATTTTGGGTTAGATGTGAATAAATTGCAAATGATGTTCAAGGTGCTACTTAATTGAGATGTGATCCTGCATTTTTAGATAAATTATTATAAGTATTAGCTCCCCCAAAAAAACCAGCATTATAGAGTGCTTTAAAAGTATTTGGATTAGTCATTACAAAAGGAAATTAATAGGAAGGATTGGATGTAGTAAAAAACTAACAAATTCCTATTCAATTAATTACTCATGTTAGAAATATTTTAAGGTAAGGAAATTCTGAATTATTATCTGAATTGATTAAGACTATTGGATTATTAGCTTAAGCAACATTTGATAAAAATATAGGAATTGACAATATTTTTATAAAATTTGTTGGTTTGACTGCTTAAATACTCAGAGTTGGTTAGAATAATGAATTAATAAATACTATTAAAACAATAGGACTTTTTGCAAATTAAGCAAGTTTAAATCCAATAAGATCAGTTTTATTTTATAAAGAATTAGTTGAACATAATTTAGTTAATGAAATTTCAAAGCTTACAAAAAATAATTTAATTATTCATAAATTAGCTACTTAGGTAATTAGTGTATTGATTCATCCAATAAATGGAGAAATAATTCATTTTCCATGGAAGAAGGGTTATTCAACATAAGTGCAAAATTTTAATGAATCATTGTCTCTATTCGAATCTTTGAAAAATTAAATTTTAATATCTTATGCAGAAATAGATCATTTAAAGATATGTAATTATTAGGATGAATAATAAAATTTGATAAGAATTTCAGTATTAAGAATATTACTTTAAATGATAAGGATAAAGAAAGATATTCAAATTCCAAAAGAAATTCTAAATTAATCACTTAATTCATAAGAGCCATTACTTTAAGGGACTGTATTGTTAATTTTAGTCTAATAATATAAAAATAGAAATTATGAATATCAAATTACTTTTTAATAAGTAATAAGCATTTTTGAAAACAATATTTAAAATAATCCAATAGTGTCTCTATCAGCAATCTAATTAATAGCAGAATTATTATAATCAGACATGAGTTTTATAAACTAACTACTAAATTATTTCACATAATAACATCCATATAAATTAATTTCTGAATTGGTAAATCCAACTAAAAAAAGTAATAGATTGGAAGAGATTCGAAAATTAGAAGGTAGTTGTTTTGGAATTCCTAATTATGGATTTGTTGATGGAGTAATAACATTAATATCTAAATTATTATTTCGTTATAATAAAGAATAAAGAAAATTAACAGATTTATTTATATTATTAGAAAAATATGAAATTCATTAACTAGTATATTCAATTTTTTAAAACATAACAAGTAGAAATGATGTTTCCCCTAAAGGATTTGTTTTTTTATTAATATTAATTCATGACTCCATATATTCAAACTTTAAAGCATTAGGTTAATTAATGTTTCAAGATAATTCAATTAGAATTTTGTGTTCATTTTTGAAAGATGTTTAATTATAAAATATTTTAGAATGGCCTACTTCTTTTGGTGGTGGCTTTGGTTGTGTAAATAAAATTGGAGAATAGATTATTAAAATATTTATTCTAGCTTTATAAGAGCAAAATAATCCTCATATATATAAAGAATTAAGTAATTAAGATGTAGTAGCTCTTATTTTAAGCCTAATTAAACATTCACAAAAGGAATAAATACTTTTAATTATTTCCTTTATATCCAAATTAGTATGGAATAATGAAGAGGATAAATATTTTGCATAGAGTTTTATCTAAAATAATGGACTTGCAATTTTGTAAAAGTATTCAATTATGAGTGTTGATTCAATTAACATTTTATCTTAATTAGCAAGAATTAGTATTGATTATTATACTAATATACACCAGATGAATTTATACAATGAATTAAAATAATTAATTTAGTCTCCTGATTGTAATTTAAGAGCTAAAGTATGCAATTTAATAGGAAATCTATGTAGACATTCATCTTATTTTTATGAACAACTTTTGAAATATGATTTAATTAATCTATGTATTAAATGTTGTTCAGATCCTGATAAAAACACAAGGAAATTTGCATGTTTTGCAATTGGAAATGCAGGATTTCATAGTGATAGATTATATGAAAATTTAAGACCAGTCATACCTTAATTAGTAGAATTACTCAAAGATTAAGAAGTATTAAATGATATAAATAATATAATTAGGAAAAAACAAGATCCAATGCAGCAGGGGCTCTTGGAAATTTAGTCAGAAATTCAAATATGTTAATTAAAGACTTTATTAAACATGGAGCATTAAATTAATTATTAGAATTAGTGAAATCTGATCAGACAACTAGAATCTCCTTATTTTCGATAGGAAATCTATGTTAATATCCTGAATGTAAGAGAAAATTTGAAGAGTTAGAAATCAGATAAATTATCGAACAATCATTAGTAAATATTATTATAACATAAATAAGGCTTCTACAAATGATTAATAAATTTAGAGATATGGAAGAAGAGTGTTAATTAAACTTGATGAAAATTGAATCCAACAATAATTTATATATTCTAATTAACAATTTTCAATATTAAATAATAACTGATATTTATTGATTTCTTATTATATTCTTATATTTGTAATTCTTCAATTTTCTCTTTTAAAATAATCTTTTTTAAATCATGGATATTCTTAATAATTATTAAGAAAAAGATTTATTTAAAAAAATTAATAGGGCCTAAATATTTCATTAAATATTTGAAAGCAAATAATTCTATTACTTAATCGTTGTTATTTTTCTAATATCATATTTAATGAATTTTGAATGGTTTTTAATAAACAATTATCGATAATCAAGAAATCAATTTAATTACATTTCATTTACATATTTAATTAAACCAATTTCAGTATTTTTAATTTTAACTTCTGCCTAAAGTAAAGCTGTAAATTTATAAACTAGAATAGCATTTATTTAATATTGAACATTATTTCTAAATCTTTTTTAGTTTAATCTTATTATTAATTCTCATTTTATTCCTTTAGTTTTGATTGATAATCCACATAAAAATTATTTGTTGATTGTATCCTCAAATTTAATTTGTATAATTGATATGGTCAAATTATAAGTTATCAGAAATTTAAAGGCAGACTTAATCAGATATCCATCTTCTTTATAATCTTTTTATTTAGATTTACACTTAATATTTTAAATTATGGATTCTTTAAGTCTATCTAGAATCTCAATCTTCTTTTTAAAACTAGCATAATTTACATAATACCACAAATCAGGATGATCTGCTGATATAATAAGATATATATCAGATAACATCATTTCCACAGGTGAAAAGATTAACAATATCTATGGCACCTATATATTAGTTTGATATATAGATGTAAATTTAATTACAATTTTCAAAATGGTTATAAGAAAATCTTATTTGCAATTCCAACATTTTGATTTTATAGGCTTTTAATGGAACATCGGAGTTGATTACTTTTCTATTACATATCTCAAAATAGAGATTTTAAGAATCAAATCCTTTTATAAATTAGCCTAATACAGAATTCAATACTTTTTCAATTAATGATTCAAACATAATATTAATATTATATTTGTGTAAAATCTTTATTTTTTTATTACTCATTCTTAATAATAGAATGCATTAAATATTACAAAATAATACAAAATAATAAATATTTAATAAATTAGTAATGAGATAGACAGAAGTTGAATAGGTCAAGAAATTTTAATTTTTTAATTTAGAAAACATTCAAGATTAGAGAGCTAAGTATTCAATTAATCATTTATTTTATTTTAGTGGTGATCCTACAGCCCCAACCTTAAATGATATTGGAATATCTGATGGATGTGGAATTGGTACCAAATTATTCCTCTCATCTCAATCCAAAAATCTTATATATGTGTATGAAGCCAATTCCATTTAAGGATTCTTCTAACCTCATAATGATTCATTTAGAATTATGAAATGCACTAAGGAAAGTAGAGATGTAATAATTAATAATTGATTTATTTAATAGGGAAAGCTAGTCACATTTGGTATTGATAGTGAAAACAATTAAAAAAGTAGCTATGTGAAATTTTGGGATCCAAATACAACTGATTATCAAAATATGAGTAAATTTATTACAATAAATTATTAGAACCTATTAAAGTTATCTTAGTAAATAAAGTTGGTTAACCATTACAAAATTTTAATTGCTTTTGTATAGCTAAGGACTTAAGTGCAATGGCATTTGGTTTATAAGATGGATAAATATTGATTTTTAAAGCTAAATCTTAAAATCTAATGACAATGGAATTTAAAGATTAAGTCATTTAAACTGATTAAGAACCTATTAAATCTGTACATCTAAGTAGACATGATCAAAATCTTAATTTATTTTGTACTACTGATTCTAATATCATCTGTTTTTAGAATATGCAAAATAGAAAAAAGTTCTCAATACCAGCTGGAGCTCTATTTGATTTGACAGCTAAAGGAACTTTAATAGGATGTCCAAAGGATGATACATCAACTATAGTTGAATATAGTGATACTAAAAAGGAAGCTACTTGGAATGTAGATGGTGATAAAATTGAGATTAGATTTTTCAAATAAAATTACTTAATAATGTTGATTTCACCTAGATAAGATAAAGAATAAGTAGATTAATCTGTTTAATTAACTATATTTGACCTTTTAAATAATTATATTGCATATTATAAGAAATTTGAAAAGATTTAAAGATTTATTCCAGTTGGTGATTATCTATATGTTATTACACAAAACAATAGAGGTGAGAAAAACTTAATTAGATTAACAGAAAAAGAGAATACTCATAAAATTGAAATCTTTTTTAAAAATAATTATTTTGATGTTATGTATAGATTTGCTAGTAATTAATCATCTGATAAAACTCTATTAGCTGAAATAAGTAGATTACATGGTGATCATTTATATGATTAACATGATTTTTAAGGTGCAATAAAATAATATATCAATACAGCAGGTATTTTAGAACCTTCATATGTAATTGGAAAGTTTTTAGATGTTTCACATGTTGACTTTTTAATTTAATATTTAGCAGCATTGCATCATGAAAAGTAAGCAGACAAAAATCATACAGCTTTGTTATTGAATTGTTATGTAAAATAGAAATAAATAACTAAACTTGAAGAATTTCTTAAGGAATCTAGTTTTGATTCAGATCTATTTGATATTGATACTGCTATTAAAGAATGCAGATAATTAGGTCATATAGATTTGGCTCTTAGATTAGCAAAATCTAGATAAAAAAATGAAGCTTATCTTAGTATACTCATAGAAACAAATAAAGATTAAAATAATAAAGAATAGAATAGATAAGATTGTAAGAGTGCTTTAATGTATATAAAAGATGAGATCTAATTGGATGAAAAAGTATATATTATTATAAATTAATTAGGCATAATATTTGAAAGAGTTTGGACAATAATTAATGAAGGCTGAACCAGAATTATGTCTTGAAATCATATAAAATTTAGTTTTGCTTATTAGTATGGTATAAAATTTGAAGAAAAGAGTAGACACACAAAAAGGGATTGAATCAATTAGTATTTTGACTCCTGAAGAATTGAAAGTATGGAGATATTTCAATTTATCAGATGAGGAAATTAAAAAAGTATTTTCTATTACATTTGGTAAACCAGATGAATTTTTACATTTATTTGTTGTTAATGATGAATATTTAGAAAGTTATTTGAAATTTTTAATTGAAAATTGTAAGACTTTACCAAATGAAAAAGCCATATTTCATAGATATTTTGAATATCATTTAGAAAAATATTAATTATATTATAAAGATGAGAGTAAAATTGCTATTAGAGATACATAATTATAAAGTAAAGAATAAGGAATTATGAAATTATTGGAAAACTAAGAGAATGAAAAGAAATATGATAAAAATCATTTATTAGTATTGTTCAAAATGTACAATTTTGTTCCAGGTATTATTTTTTTATTGAAAAAATTATAAATGAGAGAGGAATTATTAAATTTTTATATAAGTTTGAAAGAGAATAATTAAATTATTAATTTATGTAGTGATTATGGTAGAGAAGAAACAAATCTTTGGATATAAGCATTAAAATATTTTGCTAAACCTGAGAATGGTGCAGAAAATTATATTGAAAAAGTTTTAGTTTTAGTGAGTAGTTTAGAAAATCTTTCACCTTTACTTATTTTAAATATCTTATCTAAAAATAAAAATGTTAATTTTAAATTAGTCAAGAATTATTTCACTAATAAAATATCAAAAGATAAAAAATAAATTGATGATTGTCAAAAAGTTGTTAAAGAAAAAATGAAGAAAGCTGCTGATTTAAGAGCTGAATATAAAAAATTAAAAACATAAGCTAAAGTATTCCAATCAACTAAATGTAATTGTTGTGATGCCATATTGAGTTTACCTTCTTATCATTTCCTTTGTGGTCATTCTTATCATGAACATTGCATTCATACGTATAAAAATATTTATAGTATATTTCTAGTGAAAGAGCATGTCTCCTATGTCCATAAGATACATAGATGTTTTTCAAAAGAAAATAAGAATTTATTGAAGCATCAAAGGAAACAAAACCATTCAAAGAAAAACTATATGCAGCAGCAGATAAATTTGATGTTATATGTGAATATCTAGGATAGGGTATAATTTCAAATTAAAAGGCTGATTGAATCAAAAATATTGTATATCAATATATTATATATGAAAAATAAATTATAAGTTTAATAATAGCAGAATAATATTTTAGATATCTCTGTATGATATGAATTAGTATCTATTTTTAAATAAACAAAAAATAACAAGTTTATAGAATGAAAATAACTTATTCAGTTAAAAGAGAAACCATTTAATGAAATTATGTAAGAAATTCAATTTCTAATAAAATTAATTTTAGTGACTCTATTTTGAATTAGAAATATGTCATATAATCATTTAAACTATTTATTCAAATTAAATTTATTAATCTAATGGAAATTATTTAGCCCATAGACACATTTTATTTATTAATTGCATTTTGATTGATCTAGTATTAATTTATTTTTTATTATCTCTTTAAGCCATTTTTTTCATTTCATTTTATTATTCATTAATAAATCTAAGCAATCTTTCTATTTCACTTTTTTGCATCTAATTCTATAAATTTAAAGTTTAATTATTTGCTGCCATCAATTTAACCTAATAAGTCAAATCCTCAATTTGCTTTTGTTTCTCCTTCATTTCAAAAAAATAGTCTTCTTATCCTTGTTTTCTAACACTTGTAGTAAGAGATCTTGGAAACTTGAGATCATAAAAACTACTATCCTCACTAAGTTCACTAGTCATAGCAAAAACAGTTTAACGATAAATATTAAATATATAATTAATTTATCATAATCAATTCATAATATAAATAATAAATTATAATATAATTGATAAATATAATTATATATTTAAAAAAATACAGTTTTGCATACAAAAATCATTTAAATAATAGAATTGTATAATTCTTACACTAAATTTTTATCTGAATGAGTGAAATATTTTATTATAAAAAGAAGTTTAATACAATTTCTATAATTTGGGTTATATGATGAGTTATTTAAAATATAAATTTTCAAGATGAAAAATCAAAGTGACTTAATCGAAATTACCTAAATATTAGAACAGATTATTTATTTATAACAAAATTCTTCCTTCCATAAATCCCTTCTATAAAATCTTATACTTAAGCAATATATAATGTTAATAGAAATTTTGACTGAATGTTGGATATATTATTTGTCCAATATAAGAAAAATATTAATTATAAATATGATAATTCTTTTGATTCTTATAATTTAAACATATGGAAGAAATTTATAAGGAGGAACTCCATAAAAAAAAGGAGAGAAATGGGATCAATCTAATTAAGCATTAGATTAAATTTTCGAACATTTAGCAAACAATTTAACTTAATAACAAGAAGAGGAATTAGAATTAATTGAAGGGTATATTTTCAATGAAGGTGTTCTATATTATAATCAAGCTACTTAAGAAGAAAAATAAAAGATTTTCCTTTCTCTTATTGGAATGGTTGGGGAACTTGAAAAAGAGAATGAACAAGAACATTCAAAACTAGAAAAGGATATATAATATTTTAGTCAACTAAATATAACAGATAAGAATATTGTAATGACAAAGATTTCTCAAAATTTAGATAAAACTTTAATAGATTCCTCTAAGGAATTTAATAGTAAAGTGGTTTTATAGATCATCAAAAAGGAAATTGAAAATTTTTAAAGTAACCCTGATCGCAGTACTAATGCAACATGGGATATTTTAGAATATAAAATGATTTAAGAGAAAAATGAATAGGAATTGATGGAAATAGAATATTAGATATAGGAGTTTTTAGATTAGGGTTTATCAATAGAAAAAATTCGAGAAAAGTTAACAGAATTCATTGATTATTTCTTTGCCAATTCTACATTATTAGATGATAATAACAATAGTATAGATGAAATAATTAATGATGTAAAGTAATAGGAAGAGCAAAGTTAGCCAACCTAGGAAATGAAATAATATAGATAAAAGGTTAGAGAATTGATTAGAGAATTATTGAAGTAAGGTAAAACTGAGGAAGAAATCTAAAAGGAAGTTGATGATTATTTAAGTAAGAATGGTGTTAATGATTTGAGTGATGAAGAAAGAAATTTAATAAAATTAATTATTTAAAAAGAAATAATGAGGAATAAAAGACAACAAGATTATTTAAATGATGATGAAACCAAAATAACATTCAAAAATCAAAATAATATGTATTACATTTATTTAGGAATATTTACATTAATTTTATTAATATCTTTAGTAGTATTTTTGATTAGAAGACAAAAAATGAAATAAAATCAAAGAAAATAGATTGGATTTAGAATATAAGACAATGCTTAAGATGTTGAACAAATGGAATGAATTTATATGAGATATTTAATTAATTTATTTTTAGAATGAAATACTTTTTTATTTATGCCACGTTTTTGGTAAGTGTATAATGTTTTTATGATTTTATTCCTGATGACATTATAACCTTCTCCTTAACAGCTAATTAAGAAGATGTTTTATTAGAGAATATAACAGAACCAACTTTAATTAAAGGGGCATATTAAGTCAATCATCACAAAGATGTGATTGACTTCTCTGTTAAAACTCCTGCTGGAAAAACTATATATTCTAAAATGGCAACAAATAAAGGAAATTTCACTGTTTAAGCAAATGAAATTGGTTTATATTCAATTATCTTTAACAATAAAAAAAAGACTAATTAATTACTTACTTATGCAGTTGATGTTGTTAAAGATAAAGAAGACAAAATAAAATCAACAGATATTGATCCATTAGAATTAGATATAGATTATATTCATAATGGACTTTCAGAATTATATTATGATCATAAATTTTAATAAATCAGATATGAATCATCAACTCAATAAGTTAAAGAAGCCAATAAGAAAATCTATATATTTACAGTTATCGAAACTATTTTTATTGTTTTAGTTACAATATGGCAGATTTGGTATATTAAGAGATTGTACAACAAAAGATCACCATTACTCTTATGATTTGATAAATTATTGTTTCATTAATAGATCATCCAAATATCAAAGTTTGTCTAAAGACATAAAGATTACCATCTAATCCCTTCAACTTGGAAATTTATTTATATTAATCCACGGTTTATACATAAATGTAATCAAAATCAATTTTTCAATTAAAATGTGAGTCAGTATTTTAAACAGCTGAAAAGAATTCTTCACAATTTGAAATTAATTGTAATAAAAAATTTCAAATTTTTCATTTATCTATATTTATTAATTTTAAAAATCACATTATAAAAAGAGTGATAGTTATTATCTTTTGTATTCTAATAATACCAATAAAATTTATTTTGCTTATTGAAAAAGCCTTTTTTTAATAAATCTATACTTCACATAAAAATTTTGCCTATTCTGATTGCTTTTTAATATATACTCATTTAAATAATATCTAATTCTGATATATATTTATTATATATTTAATTTAATGAATGATAGTTCTATTGAGTTAGATGTTAAAATAATAATATTATATTTAATTGATTAGATATTGCATAAATTTCTAGAAAAATAAATTTATCTAAATATTTATATATAAAAATCTAATTTAGATATTTGAGCGATTTTAATAAGAAATATGAGAAAAAATATTGAGATTATTTTTTGTTAACATACTTCCTATTAAAATAACATAAAACACTATTCCTATATTAAATTAAAATAGTGATAAGATGGTTATTAAATTCTATGATTTTATGAATAAATCAAACAATCATCTGAGGGCACCTCATATCCGATTCTTGAGTAACCTACGAATATTTTGTTCTTCTTTTACTTTTAGGGGTTCCAAATCTTCATCATTATTTTCCATCGACATCCTTAAAAAGAATTAATTCAAATTGTAAATGTTCAAATAATTATTTGTTGCTATTATTGGGGTACAAATTCTAATTGGTCTTATAATTTATTTCATCATTTTCATTGTTCTGAAAATTTAATACATAAGCTTATATTATGTAATTAATTCTGGTAATATATTTATTTACTAAAATAATTATCTCAAAGTTTACAAAAATAACAATAAGAAATGAATGAATATAATATAAAGTACATAAACTGTCTTGATTGAAAAGAGATTATCCAATACAGTTATAAAGATAATTCAAATTCTTATTGAATTATATTTATAGATATCCAGTTTAATACTCATTTGCAATAAAAATTTAAATATTAAAAGTTAATCTCCAGCAATATTATTGAACTCAATAATTTTCACCTTAGATGTATGAATACAATTTTATTTATAGGGAATTTTGACTATTCTTTAAATAATAATAATAATAATATTTTTTATTATAATAAACAATTTATTGAATTTCTAAGATGATTAGAATTCATAAGATTATTGTTGTATATCATATTTATTCTGTTTAATACTGAAACAATTTTTAGTATTTAAGGAGTTTTATTTAATTAAAACATTTAATTTAATATAAATAAATGCTTAATCCACAATAATTCCACATCCAAAAAAATAATACCTATTAAGGAGTCCAAATATCATGTAAACAACACAAGCAACCCTTAAACTCCATAGATCTATCATTGATGTGTGAGATGTAATCTAGAATGAAATGTTCTTAGTGTTAGTTAGATGAAAATTGTATTCCTATATCTATATTTGGTAATTTATGTGAGAATATCTATCAAAACATTGAATAAAATAATTTTTAAGCAACTCACGCAATCTAATTGAAATTTTAAAAACAAATAGAAGAAATCTAAGAGTTACTTCAATAATTAAACAATAAGTTAATGAAGATAACATCTTTTTAGAGATTTTCTTAAAATAATCTTGAATTAATAAATAACTTTGTTAATTGTAAAAAGAAATTAGAAAATGAAATATTAAATGATTCTACGAACACTTATTAATAAGATCAAATCATAATGAAGTTTGGAATCTAAGAATTTTAATAATTAGCAGAAGTATTGTCAAAACATACTATTCTTAATAAATAAAACTTTAATTATACCCTAAAATTTAAAGATATTGATGATCAATAATTAGCTGAATCAAATCAATATTTTGAATTCATATAAAATTTGAAATAATAGATTCTCAACTTTAAATAAGAAAATGATATCAAAAATGTAGAAAATATATAAAATTAATAAGTTAATTAATTAAATGGACAAATCAAAGAAACTTTTAAAACAGAAACTAAAATTTAGAGAATACTTTAAATTTAAAAAAGTGAAAAAATGTTTTTGAAAGAAAAATGTTCAATAGCTGATATTTAATTAAATTATGATTAATCAATACTTTGTATTAGATTAATGGAATCAAAAAATTACATCAGTTTTTGGAAGTATGATGCTGAAAGAAAAAAATGGAATTTTTGGACTCAACTTTAATGTTATATACAAAGTTTGATAGATTTTAAAATGAGTAGATTAGAAAATGCTTTTATAACATGTGGTGAAGATTTTAGATAAAACACATTCTAATTCTCTAAAAATATTGAGAATAGTTACTCAATTAAAATTTGGAGGAAAGAAGCGGATACTTGGATAAATAAGCAAATTTATAAACCAATTGTTTCACAAGGACATGGAATATCAAGAATATCTTAAGTTATTTTTAGTAAATCTGAGAAATAAATTTATTATTCAGAAGGAAATCGTCTTGTTTTATTAGAATTAAAAGGATAAAACTATGAATTTAAATTTTAATCAGAAAAATCAAGTGAAATAATTACAAGTTTAGAAATTTCAAATGATGGAAAAATATTAGCTGTAGGAGCTTTTGATTAAAAAGTAAATTTATGGAGAATTGATGAAGCTAAATTAATCTTATTTTAATAATTAAAATTGTACAATAGTCCAAAAAGAATTTTATTTAGTTAAAATGATTAAGATTTAATAATTTGCACAAAAGATGGCTTAGTTCATTGTTTTAATAATAGTGAATCAAAATAAAGAGAATATAAAGAAAATTAAAAGATTTTTAATAATAATGCTAAAATTAGAACTATTTAATTTAATAATGATTCATCAGTATTAGCTATAGGAGGAGAATCTAATGTACTTTAATTATGGTAGAAAGATCAATTAAATTAATGGAAATGTTATAATGAATCAAAATAAGATAATTTCATAGAGTCTATATGTTTTTCAAATGGTCCAGATTATATTTATGCATCAAACAATAATGAACTATATATACATCATATAATTTGATATTGTTTTTATTATAAAAGATATAATTAAATATAGGGAAATAATATTTTAAATCTTGATTATTCTGATAAATCAAAATACTTCTTCTCTAATTTGGAGGAATTCTGAAGCTGCACTTAATTTTTAGGTTAAGACTTCTTATAATCTTTCAACAACTTCCAATTATTATTCTCTTTCGAATGTTTAAGCTTCATATTAAGCTTCTTATTCAGCAGCCCATCTTTCTTAGATAGCTAATGAATCTTCAGCATCTTCAAGGAATAACTAAAATAGTATAATTATTTTACAGTTTAATCCTCTAAGTCTTCAACAGCTTCTTAGATGGTAACCTTGAATTAAACAATAGAGTTTTCTAAAAATGCTTTTCTCTCAACTAATCTCTTGTGTTCTTCTTACAAGTGACCACTTTAGACTTCCCAATTAGCAGCTTATCTTTCTTCAGTGGCAAGGAGGGAAGCTCTACTGGCAACCAATTATTATCTGATTTAAGCCAAAAGTTCTAAGATTTTGATGATACTCTTGTTATCAACCTTGGAAGCTAATTATGTCAAGGCATTGATGAGTGGCTGTAAAATAATAGCAAATAATAAAATACTTTGAAGAGAGCATGCTTGCTTTCCATCAATTTAGCTTAGACTTTTTCAAATCTGCTCTTAAGTTAAGCAAATGCAACACCAGCTTATAAATGTTGAACAATCTTTGAAGCTTCATCAATGGCATCCATTTAATCAACATGTTCTGCATCTTTTCTAACCCATGTTTCGTGTTATGATTATCTGGTGGCTGATTCGTCAGCAAAACTTTTTTCGTTATTGGCAATATCAGATGTGACAACTCTGACTTCGGCTTCAGCTTCACCTAAGGCTTCAGTTGTTGAATCTCTCAAGTTAGAGAGGGCAACAATTTAAGTTTAATGATAAGCAATTTCTTATTCTAAGTCAGCAATGATCTTCTCAAATGCAACAGTATCACTTTCGTGAACTTTGTCAGCTTTCTTTTAATCTCCATTCAATTAAGAAGCAATGTTATTCAAAAGGATTTAGATCTCTCCAACAGGTCCACCAGTAGCCAATTAGAGTTGGAGAACTGAAAGGATGGAATTACCAAATGAATCCTTATTGACTTAAGCCAAAATTTCTTTTGGACTTTCAGTCTTAGTCAATCGTGCTGTAGCAACTGCAATAACAATAGCCAATATTGTTAATGATCTAGCCATTTTTTTAATTATTTATTATGCATCCAACCATGATCATGTGATTTACACTTATTACCCGTTTTTGATAGTAATATATATATATAATACGTTTTTAATTTATGAGCTTTATTAACTTAGAATAACTTGATCAAGAAAACTCACTAATAGACTATCATAAAAAAATTAATGAAACATTTGTTACTCTATCGAATACTATTCATGAACTTCAAATCCATAAATCTGTTTTGTAATTACATTTTCAATATTAAGTTTTAGATACTAATATTGCTTAACTCTACTTAGAGTAATTCTGTTAAAAATTTCCATAAGCGATAACATTTACATTACTAATAGGAGAAGGAGCTAAAATTCTACATTTTGAGAATGAAGTAGCAGAATACTTGTTTAGCAAAAGATTTTGTAGATTAGATTTTATAATTGCAGTTGGAGGAGGAGTAATTACTAATTTAATTGGATTTTATCCAACATATATATGAGAGCATTTAACCATTCAACAGAATAATATTCATTTTATTTCCACATAGTTATTGGGAATGTTAGATACTAGTGTTGGAAGAAAGACAGTTATCAACAACATTTATTGTAATAATCAACTAGGAGTGATAAATGATCCTTATTGAATAATAGTGTGCAGTTGATTTTTGTAATCATTAGATAAAAGAAATATTCTAATTAGTTTAGCAGAAATCATAAAAATAACAGCTTGTTTTGATAGAAAATTATTTGAGAGATTGGAATGTTATTATTATAATTATTTAATGAATCCAAATAACTAAGCGATTCTATTAGATATTCTTAAATATGGATTTAATTTAAAGTTAAGTATTGTATACTTAATTCAATTTACTATTATATTGTTATAAGGGAACCATAACTGAAGATAAATATGAGCAAAATATTAGAAAAATAATAAATTATGGTCATACCATTGGCCATGCAAATGAATTTGCAAGTCAAGGTAAATTATTGCATGGAGAATTTGCTATTGGTAAGGTTTTGGCAAATATGTTGGCTAAAGAACATAGAATAAATATATTATCATATGAGAATAGAATTAGGAATGTACTTTTAAAATATGAATAACCTATTGAAATTCCAGAACCTGTAAATATACAAGATGTTTTAAAATATTTAAAATATGATAAAAAAGTATTTAAACACGAAATCAATTTTATATTTATTTAAGAATTTGTCAAACATAAATTTAATACTACTAATATTAAAATGGATATGATTAAAAAAAATACTTGTTGACAAGAACTCCAATATAGAATACTATGGTAGAATTATGGACTTGATAAAATTATATTATGCCAAATTCTTTGATAGTTTGATTAATTTAAAAAATGGATCTCAAAGGACATAGAAGCACATTTTCAGGATTAGAAAACATGAAATTAATACTCTTTATAAAAATTGAATGCTAAGACTTCTAGAAAAAGATGTAGAGAATGAAATAGGTTAGAAGAAAGAAATTCAGATTGTATTATTCTTTAATATCTAAAAGTGGACTTAAAATATTTCTAAGATATCTGATGAAATTCTGATAATATTAAAAAGAAATTATGATCTTAATATTTATGATTGAATTTATAGTACTTTAATTAAATATTTGGTTAAATAATATAATAAAGTAAAAAATGTCCAAACAGTCTAATCAAGTACAAGATAAATAGTTGTAATGGTCAAATCAAAAAGAAAGAAGAAAGAAATTAATTTTAGACAGTCCAGATACTAAAGAGACTGTAACTATTCTACCTAAACAAGTAAGATTTTGTTCTTAATTAAGTAATAAAAAATACCTAGTTCAAACAAATTACCTAAACATTTTATTTCTGGACCAAAGAAGAAAGCTAGATTAAAATAATAGACACAAGAAGAATGTCCTATTTGTATGTTGAATTTAGATGATGTATAAAATGTTTGTGAAATTGATGTTTGTAAACATTAGATATGTTCAACTTGTATTAAAGAATGGGCTGAAAAATATAAAACACAATGTCCTTGTTGTCGAGCAAAATTCAATTACATCTATCCAATAAAAGATGGAAAAAGAGAAAACAACCCAATATAATTAAATTTAAATTTACCAAAATGGAATTAAGAAGATGATGAATTTTATGAAGATGAAAGTGATTATGATGATGAAGAGAGATGCTAAGTATGTTAATGTTCACACACTCCTTATTTAATGTTGATATGTGATAAATGTAATGATGCATTTTGCCACACTTTTTGTGATCCTGCCTAATTAGAATTTAATGTTCCTAGTAGTAAATGGTATTGTTTGGATTGCAGAAAATCTAAATTTATTTACTATAAACATAAGTGATATGAATGATTTCATATTTTAAATATTTTTTCAGTTACTCTAACTTTATTTTCTGTGTTTTTTATTTAAATTCAATACTTTTTATCCTATTAATTATTGGGTTATTTGATTTACTTATTAGAATAGATATAAATATAGTATAGGATTCAGCCTAAGTGAAGGTTAGAAATTATTAATGAAATAAATTTAAATTCTAAATTAATTTGCTTGTTTTTTTTTTTATTATTTTTAATTTTATTGCTCATATGGATTTTATGATAAAATGTTAAATTTTCACTATTTATATCTATCTACATTTAATTATATTTGAATAACTATTTAGATATATAATCATAGTTTTTTGTTCAAATAGAAAAAAAAAAGAATTATGGAAGAATGGAATAAGTACTATATCTAAATTAAATTTACAATAAAAGAGAATTATATCTTTAATTTGATTGATGTGTAATGATTACAAAGAGGAATTGATTTTTGTTAATGAAAACATTGAAATGATTTGTTATGGAATAATTTTGAGCAATGTGATTAATGTAATTTTTTATTCATGCATGATTAATACGTACATAAAATTAAAAAGTATTATTTTTATTTTTAATGATACCCAGACTCTAAAAAATCAGATTTAGGAAAGAAGAACAAGAGAGGATGGAAGATTAGGAGATAGAATTAGATGCTCTAAATAAAGTTGAGAAGTAATTGGAAATGCTAGATAATAATTCGTAAAAATAAATTAATTATATTTTTAGAGTGTGGAAATCTAAACCTTTAAGAATCATTTAGAAAATAACAATTTTTATTACTAGGCTTAAACATAATTCAACTACTTATAGATTTAAATTATTAAAGAAAAACATCTTTCTATTAATCAGAGACAAGGCTGCTTCATTTCAATATTATCTTTATAATTATATGTTATTCCAGAAACCATCACGAGTAATAAATTCTAATAACCTAGTGGATACAAATAAAATATGAAGCTCATGCTACTAATCCATTATGGTGGCGTTTTTGGTGTTTTATTAAAAGTGATGAAACAGTTCTATTACCTGCAGATAAATTCCTTTTTGTTTGGGATCTTTTGATGATGTTGGTAACAATTGCAAATATCTTCTATGTTCCTTTGTAGCTGTCATTTAATCTAAATGAAGACAATATGGGTAGTGTCTTTACTCTTTTTAGTACATTACCAAGTTGTATTTTTTTAATTGATCTTATTCTAACATTTTTTAAAGGATATTATGATAGAGGAATATTGTAAAGGAATAAAGCAAAAATCTTTTGGCATTACATTAAAGGTGACTTTACATTAGATTTAGCTATTGTATTGCCCTTTATTTTATCATGGATGGGATATTCAGCTGCAAATTATTTGATGTTGATTAGAATGACAAGAGTCAGAAGAACAATGATAGTAATTGAAGAGATATCAAATTTCAAAGAGAAGAGTGCTATAATTTATTAACTATTTTGTCTAATATATTCACTACTATTGATTTCTCATTTTTGTGCTTGTCTATTCCATTACTTTGCTCTTTATGAAGTAGACTAAGGTTATACTCACACTTGGTTACATCAATAGAATATATTTGATGAAGATTTGTACACTAAATATTTCAACTCACTCTATTGGATTACTATCACATCAATGACTGTTGGGTATGGAGATATAGTTCCAGTTACAACTCCTGAAAAAATATTAGTAACAATAATTACTTTCTTGGTAACAGGTGTTTTTGGTTATGCATTAGGAATGATTTAAAGTATTTTTTATAAAATGGCAGAATAAACTAATATAAACAATTCGAGATTGAGATTAGTGAGTAATCATATTAAATAGAGAGGATTGAATACTTAATTGCAATTTAGAGTTAGAAAATATATAGAATATTATTTATAATTTAAATAGGATGAAGAATTAGATTTAGATGAATTAATGGGATAACTCAATCCTAAACTTAAATAGGAAGTATAAATTGCAATGTATTATCGTTATCTAAAACATTCTAAATTATTTGGAACTAACTTCTCTGATGATCTAATCAAAAAGTTATGTTTCTGCATTCATGAAAAGACATTTGCTCCTGAAGAAGTAATAATTAAGTAATAATTATATTTTATGAATTTAGAAAAGATGAATTGCCAAATTAATTATACATTGTATTAGCAGGATAAGTTAAATCTCTTATATTGGAAAAATCTATTAAAAGATATTAATAAGGTAATTTACTATGTGAAAGAGAATTCTTTTATCAAGATGTAATGCAATATAATATTGTTGCATCTTCTTTTGTTTAAGTAGCTTACTTGAATCTCTCTGAATTTTAATCTATAATACAAAATCATAGAGCTAGTTTTGAACAATATCGGTATGCCATAGATAATACTGTTTTTGGTCAAAATACAAACTTAATTATATGTGAGGCTTGTCAATCTCATCATTAATTTAAAAATTGCCCACTTGTTTTCTTTAAAAAAAATAATAGCAAAGTTTTAGCTGCTTATCATAGTAATGATTTATAAAGTAGATAAACATTTTCTAGAAAAAAATCTAAATACAAATAATAAAGAACTGGTATTATTAATGGAGCTTATGATCATATAATTAAGATGAGAACATAATTAGGAGTATAAGTTGATTAAGCATTCTTGAATAAAATTGGATATCCAGGTTATGAACAACTACAATAACAATAAGAACTGAGTGATGATGAAGATGATAAATACTAATCACCTTAGGCAAGAAGACAAAGTTTCTCATAATTTAATGAACATTAACATTCACTCTCTCAAAAGAGTCTTCCTAAAGATGAAAAGTATAATGACTTTGATATTGATAAAGTTTAAGAATATGAATTCTATTATCCGCATAACAACATTACAAAAATTAGTAAGATTGTAAATAAATAATAATTATTACGGAGAATTCTAGATAAAATATCAAATAAAAAGAATTTATTCGCTGGCCTTGTGTTTAGATAAGTTGTATAAAAAATTATATGAAAAAGAATTATTATATTAATATAATTAATATAATATAAATATTATTTACATCCTTTTAAAATAGATTTTGATATCAAAATCTAAGTTTAAGCTTATCAATATCAAAATAAATTCTGTGTTGTTATTTAACTTAATTAATAATTAAATTTTTTAGCTCTTATTAAAATAAATAAAAATTGGAATCTTTTAATCACTAATTTTAATTGAGTCCAAAATAAATATATTTATTTTTATTTCAATATTATTATAATTTCTCTAACAAAATTTAATATTATATATATTCTAATCTAAAAATGTGGTTTTATATCAAATATATTTAAATAAATATACTATGATGCCAAAATTTGAAATTCAAATGAAAGTAAATTCAATTAATTTAATTTATTTTAAAAGAGCTTAAATTAAAATTTATATAAATAGAAATGTAAAGTTTCATAAATTAAAAATTGAAATTTATTTAGAGTCCTAACCAATAGAAATATAGAATATGGAATTTCATGAAAAATCAATGTATTTAATTTAATTAAACATTTGAACTAAGTGATATTTTATTTATGTTTTAATTTTTTTTGAAAGAAATATACTATTGTTACTAATATTATATTAATCATTTTTTATTGTTCTTTGTCAAATACTCAATAGCTTTCTTAACTCCTTCTGCTTATAGTTAAGCACCTTAATTAATGATGGCCTTAGGAATATCACCCTTTGGATTCATATTACCAATGATAATAATATTGGATTGTCCATTAGGTAACTTTTTTACAATCCAAGCTTAGAATACAATCTCTCCTCTTTAAACTCCCTTGACTGCTGGGGCTTCAGGATGCTCAATTGATTTACCTAATGAATTAGATTTAATTTTATACTAATTGTCATATAGTGATCTTCACCTAATTTGTAGACTCTTGTCAATATACAGAAATCTCTAGCATCTACAAAGAATGTTGGTGGTTTTCCTCTTGCATAAAATATGAAAGTGTTTTAATCCACTTTTGATATCAATCTTCCCTATTAAATATTAATATATAAGAATACTTCTTAGAAATTTGAATCATACTCCTTCTTTTTGGTCATATCAATTACAAAATTAATAAACTCCTCTGGATTTACAACAGCATTTGTTTCTGTTCTATTGATTTTTAGACCATTATCAGGATTGTTTCTAGTATAAATTGCATAGCCATCCTTGTTAGTATCCAAAGTCCATTAGTTTTCTGGCTTAAGTTCGACTATAGCAAGGATTTTAGTTTTGGTTTCTTCTAAAAGTTGATCGTAATTGTTTTGCATATTAATTATTTTTAATTTAAAAAGAATTCTGTTGTTCTTATTGAATTTATATATAATAATTATATATTGATAAAATTAATCTGAATTATTTAAATTAAATATATAAGGATAATTAAATTATTGTTTTTATGTAAAACCATAAGATTAGTACGATTATCCTATTAAAAGAAAATAGAATCTATTCAAAAATATTTAGATCTAACCTTTCCATATTTTCAATCATATGACTAAATTTAATGAATATAATTGTTTTTACAACTTTATCATAAATCACTTGATTATTTATTTATGAAATACATCTATTAAGTAAAAGATCAATCAAATATTTTAATAATTTATATAATATGGAATAATTATATAAAAACAATATATTATTACAATATATAAATAATAATTATTATACTCTAAAATAATAATAAATTATTAAATTGTAATTAAAATTATAATTCAAAATAAAAGCTTATTTAGATTAATAATTAATTTAAAATTCAATTAGATTTGATTATCTAGAATAATAATAAGGATCAGAAGATGTTATTAATTAATTAATATTAGTTATAATAATATTTTAAAATATGAATAGCACTATAATACAATTTTTTCATTTTGGATCTGCTATTCCAGATAATGGTTTTCTAGCTTATTATAATTATTATTATTGTTCAGTATTAAGCTATCCTGATTAAGGTTATTTAACAATAGTTTAAGATGTTGGCTTTTGCTATTTAGTATCAACTTATGTTTGACCAGAACGAGGAATTGGATTTCCAGAAATAGTTCCAGATTTAGGGAAATTATTTTTAAAAACAATTTCTTCATCTTCCTTTTTTTCAGGTCTTATTACTTTCATAGAATTTAAACCTTTATTTGATAAGAGTGCAGAGATTACTCCTTCGAATTCGTCGATTGGTTCAATAGGCCATTAATTAATTATCTATCTTGGTTTTTTAGTGAATGCGCCATCTCCAAAATAAAGATTCCAATCGAATAAACTACCATCAAATATTGGATAATATCCATCATTACTCAAATAAAAGAAGAATTGATTAGGAACAAAATGTTTAATGTTATTAAATTGAGCACTATCTTGTCGATTTAAGAAAAGTGTAAATGCAAAGGCTTATTATGATTTGAATTAGTATCCAAAGTAAACAAATACCCATTCACCATTACTATTTCCAGAGTTGATAATTCTATTAAATTCATTATTATCATCTCCCTATGTATCTAATTTTCCATATGTATAAGTTGAAAATGCTAACTTAGTCTTACTTTAAAATAATGATAGTGTTCTATCTCCTGCATATTATTTATCTCTCTAAAAATCTGGTGGATTTATTGTTAATCTGAATACATTTTTATAAGCTTCTGTCAAACCCATAACTTTTGATTATAACCAACCAGAGACTGCATATTCATTTACTCCTTTGTATTCTTCATAATTATATTTCATTTCTTTCTTTTCTTCAGGCTTAATTATGACTTCTTCTTTTATCAAATTTACATCAGTTTTAGATTTAATATCCATAGGTGGTCTTGGATTAAGTTGAATAATTTCTTTGATCAATTATTCTCTAGAACCTATAAATCCATTTCCTAAATGAATTTATAAATCTGCAATCATTCCATTAAATGACTAATACCCAAACTCCTTATTAGCAGCCACAATTCGAGCATATCCATTAAGAGGCACATGTTCTAAATTTAAAAACTCAACTCGAGAGATTGCTGTACCTGATTATTCACTGAAATATACAAATCCAACTGCTCTTGCTTATTATTTATTAGTGAATGAATAATAGATGTAATTCCATTCTCCTTCTAAATTATCATCATAATTAATATTCTAAGAAGTGGAAATCTTGTTTCCAATTTTATTATATGTTGTGAAATGATAATAACCTTTACCAATCCAAATTGCCAAAACTCTATTACCTAATTAAGCAGAATCCTCATATTATTCTGTGCTACATAATCTAATCAATTAATGAAATGGAGCTTTCTCTATAATTCTCTTTGGAATAGTAGTCAACCATCTAGTCCATAATCCATATCCATATTCAGTGAATCCATTTACATCTTTATTAAATACAATATCTAATCCTGGCTTATCAACTAATGGTACTTCAATAATTTTATTGTCTATTCCATCCCAAATCAAAGGCTTAGATTCCACTCCTTATAAATTAGGCAATTTTTCTTCGAAATTTCCTTTTGTAGAATCTACATAAGCTCCTCTACCAAATATTAAATTAACTTTTTGCATCTAACCATGCCATCCTCCAAGCATTCCATCTCCTCCAAAAAAGAATAATAAATAGTTTGGAACCATATGTAAAACATTATCGTAAGGAACTAAAGCGTAACCGCTTGGATACTTGATGATTCCTGAAGCTTTTCTTTTTTAAAAATGATAACCAAAGTATATATAAGTCCAAAGTCCAAGATTAGTTTTATATGGAGTCGGCTTTCTAATATTCACAACTTATCCATTATCTATATTACCAAGTGAATAAGTTGCAAATACATATTCACCTGGTTACAACATAACTAATAATGTTCTATCTCCAACTCTACTTATTTCACCTCTATATGCTTATTCATTATTTGTTAATCTCATTATACAATTATTTGGAGTCTTTAATTAAGTACTTGTATATCTAAACCATCCATACATGGCATATTCTTCAGCCCCTTTCTAATCTAAGATTTCTTTATAATCAGGTCCATTATTGAATACCCTTTCTTTCACATCTTCAACAATATTGAATTTTCTATTATCATCCTCTTCATCACCTGGTTGTTTGAAGAATTCTAAAATGATTTTATTTAGAGCATCTGTGTCATGAACATAATATCTCTTACCAAATCCTAACTATAAACCTGCAATTTATCCATTAAATCCTTGATATGAAAATTCATTTCCAATCACTAATTTTGCATAATTATCAATAGGTTTATGTTAAATATCTCTAAATTGAATTCTTTAAATCTTATCAAGTTTACTGAATTTTACAAAACCTGTAGCTAACTGTAATTCAGAATTATAAGAGAAATAGATAAAATTCCATTCACCTTCTAAATTATCTTCATATCTTATATTTTAAACTATATTTGGATTGTTATTAGCAGAATTATAAGTAAAGAATGCATAGTATTATCTTCCAATAAAAATGGCCAAAGTTCTATCTCCAATATTTTCATAATTTTTATGATTAGGATTTATAGTTAATCTAGCAATATGTAACCAATCTGGTTTTTAAAGTAATCTTTTTGGAATTGCAGTAAAATATTTTGTCCACATACCTATACTATATGAAGTTTATTCATCAACTTCTTCTGGTTTTAATTCAAATACTTTATTTTAATCGTATGCTATCTCAAATTTCTCTTTTTAATCACTCCAGAAATAGACTGGTTTTGTAGTTGATATTCCTCCAGCAGCAAATGGTTCAAAAGATTAGAAATTTCCTTCAATATAAGATCCTGCATGTCCCATAAAATATAATTTACTGAATTTACCATTATATGGAGTATGTATGCCATCTTTTCCTACATATAATCCCATATATTTAGGCACTCTATGCATACAAGGTAAAGCCTTTAAACATTTTTATGTTTTTGTTTATAAAAATGATATCACCTTATTTTAATTTCTACTATAACCATAATAACCATAAACCCATTCAGATTATGATGGTATATCTACTGGACATTCAGTGTATAAATGAGCAAACTGATCATGATTACCAGGAGTTGTATAAGTACTAAAGAATATTCTATGATCTGCATATTAAAACATAGATAAGACTCTATCTCCAGGTTTAGCATGATTAGCTCTTATATTTTATTCATTATAAGAAACGGAGAATACATTTTCCCATGCAACTCTATATGTTTTAGTCCATTTGAACCATAATGATACTGAATATTCATAAGCCCCATCAAATTCATCAACAAATTCTACAGGTGCAGGTACCCATTCTTCTCTTTTCATAATTTTAACATCATCTACAACAATCTTAGTAAATTATTTTTAATTTCTCAGAAATTCTGGTTTAGATGGGATTTATCTTCTTAATAAATCTTCAGTTTCAAAGAAACCTCCAGATCCCAATATTAAAGAGACTTTTTAAATGTGACCATTAAATTGATGATATCTGTCCAAAAAGTATCTACCTGAACTTCCTACTGCTAGATATAAATAGTCATTCAAAGGTTGTTAAATAATATTACCTAAATTTGTCTTTCTAATTAATTAACCATCAAATACTACATATCCAATAGCACTACCTTATTTATCATTTACTCTTTTATATCCAAACCAAATATAATTCCATTATCCATCTAACATTTGATTATATTCTATATTGTTTACTACATTGAAATTTCCTCTTGTAGATGTTGTAAAATGATAAAATCCTGGTCCAACCCAAATAGCCAAAGCTCTATCTCCTAATTAAGCAGCATCACCTTAATAGTTTGGATTAACTGTCAATCTTGATAATGCCATCCATGTTGGTTTATTAATCATTTTAATTGGAGTATTCCAAGCAAATCTAGTCCACATACCATATCCATATTCAATTAATCCATCTATTTGTAGATCATCTTTATATTCTACTTCTTAACCTACATTTTATTATGTAAATCCACAAGCATAATTATCATCAAATTACCAATTCTTTGGTTAAGCTGGTTTATGCAATCCAAATCCAAAAGTAGTTTCTTCATTTTCACCTATACCATATCCACTCTCTTTATAAGATCCAGAACCAACATTAAAGTACCAACTTTCAATATATCCATTAAAACCTGGATTCCATCTATCCAATAGAAAATGAACTTTAAATCTTTAAGCAATAAAATGATTAATTTTAGTAAATGTATAATGTTCTTCTTATCCTGGATATTTTACATAAAGATGAACTTATTGTTTTTAATGTGAATATCCTTAATAGAAAAATACCCAATTTTTATGTAAGGTTTAATCATAATCAACATTCTTCACAATTTACCATGCTCCTCCATTCTCTTAATCAACTGTATATGTATTAAAATGATAGAATCCATAACCTTTATGACATGAAAAGATTCTTGATCCTGGTATTTGCATATTTAATAACTCATTATAATCATAATATGAGACACGATATAAAACATACCAAGGCTATATAGCTGGTATATCTACCCATTTAGCCCATCCAGATATTGAATATTCTAATTTACCTTAAGCAATTTCTTCTTTAATATCAAATTCTCTTCCTTAACCAGAATTAGGAATTCTTTCTTTAACAATCTCTATTGTTTTTCTACTCTAATCATATTTTGATTCTGCAGGCAATCCTAATTCTCCATTAGCAATTATTAAAATTTCCTCCTTACTTAGATAAGCTCCACTACCCAATCTAAGCTAGATATTTACTAAATTTCCATTAAAGAATTTATAGTTAAATTCTGATCCAACAATAAATCTTAAATAATCTTTAATTAAATTATGCTTCACTTTAAATTCTTTCTCTATAATTGTTGAATCTTATCCAAATAAGACACTAGCCTTAGCTATATTTTTACGATAGGCAAAAACAACAAAATTCCATTATCCTTCAAATTTTCCATAAGGAATTGATTCTGTTAATTGTAAGACTCCTCTAGTATATGTACTAAAAAGATAGAATCCCATGCCTATCCATGTTGCCAAGGTTCTATCACCTGGAACTGCTAAATCTTGATGTCCTTTTCTATTGGCAATTCTTGCAAGTGAGTACCAAGCATCTTTAAATTAAATAGGTTTAGTTAATGTCCTAGACCATCTACACCATAAAGCCCATCCATATTCATTCAATCCTCTAATATTATAATCTGCTCCATCATTAATTTCAAGATCCATAAGTGTACCTTGTTTATTAGCATCTGCAATTAACAATTTATTTCGATCACTTTCCTTTGTGATTAATTCCAAAGATGAAAATAGTTCTTTGACTCCTTTCATATACAAGAAGATATCATTATTAAAGGGTTTGGTTTGGAAAGATCCCTTACCATAACTTAAGATGACTTAAGTAGCTTATCCTGTAAATCCTCTATGTTTACTATAGAATTTACTATAGTCTCTACCAAATTGGAGATAATGTTTATGAACAATGAAATGATGGATATTATTATGTACTTAATCAAATTCATCATCAATAAATGAGACATAATAATAGAGTTGTTTGCTTTCTCGTTTATAACCAATATAAAAAAAGTGCCAAAATTGATCCCATTCTTGATGATTCACTTACCAATTAATTGCAAAATCTCCTCCTCCATTTAAATTGTGATAATTATATGATTAGAATAAGTAATATGAAGTATGTTTAAATAGCATCATATCTCTATCTCCTAATTTAGAATCATTATTATCTTCTACTTTATATCCACTTAATCTAAAGATAGCAAAGAATGGAGCTCCAATAGGTTAATCCCATCTTAACCATCCACTTATAGCATATTCATTTTAGAAATGACTCTCTATTTCTTTAATACTATCAGTTTATTCATCTCCTTTGAAACCAGCTGAAGCTTCAATAATTTTAATTTAATTGAATTTATAATCATCAGCAAAAGGATGAGGAATTCTATTTGATAAAACTCTCTTGTACAATTCAAAATCATTTATATATGCTCCTTTACCATATTTAAAAGCATAATTAGCAATTTAACCATTAAATCCTTAATAAATACCTTATTTTCCACCAATCATTAATTTTAAATACTCAACATCTCCATGATTACAAACAATATCCCTTCTGTATATTTCAGCATTTTCATCATACTTAATAAATGCTACAGCCTTTTTATCTACTTGAGAATAACTAAAATATACAAATGTCCAAACTCCTTCAATATCACCATAAGGTATAATTGTTCTTAAATTAGGATTATTTGATGGTTTATCTAGAGTATGGAAACTATATGATCCTTATCCTTAAAAGATACTTAACACTCTATCTCCCATACCAATATCTTATGGTTAAGGATTCCAAGTTAATCTTGAAATGAAATAATAAGGAGCGCTTTTACCATCTCTTAATTGTTGTGGATACATTGTAAGATATCTCAAATAAAATCCATATCCATAGAATCTTAATCCATCCCAATCTGATTATTGTTATTATTATTATTATTATTATTATTATTATTATTATTATTATTTTGGTTAATCTCCATCTTTATTTGGTTATTCTTAAATAGGTTTAACAATATCAACTGGTTCATCAGATATTACTCTTTGTTTATCCTAATCAGGAAACTAATAATGACCATCTATGATTCCAACTGATTTTTCATTCTTAAATTTTTCAGCTTCTTTTTTCAAGTCTTATTCTTATTTTTCAATTGCTTTTTTCTCTTCTTCAATTTATTCATCACTTTAAGTAATCTCTCCTTGTCCTCCTATAATTTCAGGCACATGTGAATTTAAAGATTATTCATAAATATCTTTTGATATCTCAAATGAATAAACTGTTTCACTCTCTAAAGAATTGTCAAAATATTCATGTTTTCTAATTTCTTCTGGAAGAGGTTTATTAGGATTGATAGTAGATAACCTTCCAATTTTGAATGCAAATATATCATTTTATACTTTTTCATAATTTTCCGTTTAGAAAGCACCTTCTCCTGCATTAAATTTGAAGTATCCAATATCTCCATTATATTAATTAAACCATTTATCTTTTCCTATTGTTAAAGCAAATACATTTGGAATGAAATGATTAGTATCTTTAAATGAAACAGATTCAATTCTATCATCAAAATGTACCTTTGCATAAGCCAGTCTTTAAGCTCTTGAATAACCAAAATATACAAAATGCCATTAAATATGTTCTCCATCATGATTTATATTCTACCAAATATTTGGTGTTCCTTCTCCATAAATATTTTTATATGTATATGTAGTAAAGTGAATATAACCTTGACCCATAAATGCCATTAAAGTTCTATCTCCCAATAATTTGATATCACTTGTATTTCTAATTATTGCTAATCTAACCATTAAATACCAAGGGAATTATTATCCCATTTATTTCCATTTAAACCAACCACTCCAAGAATATTATCCAACTAATGGAACATCATCAAATACTATTTCCTAAGCAACAAAAGATTACTTAGGTTTTGTAATCATATCCTTAGTCTATAATTTCAAACTATAATCATTAGGTTTTTTCAATTTATCTAACAATTTTTCCAAAGCTGTCTCATCAGATAAGAATATTCCTTCTCCAATTGAAAACAATATACCTGCAAACTATCCATTATAGGCAGCATATTTCATATTATTGCCACCTATGTATAATTACAAGAAGGTTGGACTTTAATGAATAGCTGGAATAACTCCCTTTATTACTTTACCTTCTCCAAATTTAATCATAGCCACACTTTCTTTTTTGTATAGATTATGTGAATAATAAATAAATGTCCATAATCCTTCAATATCTACTGGATGATCAATATTATGAACTATATTAGCATATTTATGTGAATATGTTGTGAAATGATAGAACCCTTTACCTAACCATATAGCCAAAGTTCTATCTCCATAATTCATATCTCCCTTATTTTAATTTTTAGTTAATCTTGATATGAATGACCAATCTGCTTTTAATCCCTCAATTAATTAAGTTGGATATCTAGTAAGAAATCTACACCAGAATCCATATCCATATTCAGAAACATTCTCCAATTCTTCTTCATTAAATATCTTAGAGAATATTGGTTCCTTTTAATCTACTTATGGAGATGCAAACATCTTTGTGGTAGCATCTTTATCAACATCGAATTTTAATTTAGATTTTAATAATTCCATTGATCCCAATTTATTAGCAAATAAATCATCTTTAGCATCTTTGAATTCTCCTTAATAAAATGCTCCTTCTCCTGATTAGAATCTCAAATAAGCTATACTACCTAAATAAGGATCATGCCATTTATCTTTGCCTACAGATAAAAAGAATTTATTAGGTAAATAATGATGATGATTCTCAAAATTTACTTATTCTTTTCTAAATCCAAACTCAACTTTACCATAAGCTAATTATTAAACTCTTGAATATCCAAAATATATAAAATGCCATTTAGCAATATCATCCTTATATTAAATATTTTAAACACTATTTGCATTTCCAGAACCATATAAATCTGTATAAGTATATGTAGAGAAATACAATATTCCACCTGCTTGTTATCCAATCCATAAACATAATGTTCTGTCTCCCAAACTATTTTTGTTTTCATAATTTTCTAGTGTAGACAATCTTACAGCTAAATGCCATGCATTTTAAATAACACTAGACCATTTAAACCAACCACTCCAAGAATATTCTCCACTAAATTTCTAATTTTCAAATTCAAATTATTTTGCTTCTGAATTCATTTCAAATCTTGTATTTTTCTCCAATAATACATTTTATATCAATTCTACTCTATATGTTGTAGGTTAAGGTATAGATTTTAATAGATCTTAAAACTTTTCCTCATTATCAATATAAATTCCTTTATTCACACTAACATAAGCTCCACTTATCTATCCATTAAATCCTTTATAAGTCAAGTGTCTACCTCCCAAATAGAACTTCAAAATAGATGGAATCACATGAACACATTATTAAGCAGATCTTATTGGTTTATCATTACCAAATTATATATAAGATACACTTTATTCTTTATTAAGATTATGTGAATAATGTATAAATGTCCATAAACCTTCAATATCAGAAGGATGATTCACATTATTGAAAATATTAGAGAATTATTAATTATATGTAGTAAAATGATAGAATCCTTTACCTAACCAAATTGCCAGTGTTCTATCACCTAATGTAACATCTTATAAAACATCATTTTTGCTTAATCTACTAATAAAACTCCAATCAACTTTTAAACCTTCAATTTATACTTTTGGATAATTCCTAAGATATCTTAACCAAAATCCATATCCATATTCAAAAACTTCATCCAATTCTTCTTTATTAAATACTTTCATATAATTAGATTCCTCATCACTATTTGAATCTATCATAATTTTCTCCTTTGATTTTGTTATATCAAATGTCTTAATTTCTTTCTTAATAGATTATAAATCAAAACCAAATATATTATCCTAATCTTTATAATCAGTACTTTATTTATATGCTCCTTCACCCATATTGAATTTAACCTATGTAATCAAACCATTAAATCCAGAAACAAGAGGTTCTTTACCAATATAAATGAAAAATTGATTAGTCAAATAATGATTAATATGTGTGAATCCTTACTATGACATTTCATCTGACCATTAAATATGAACATGACAAGTTGATTTTTCATGTTAATATCCAAAATATACAAAGAACCATCTATAATGTCTATTCTTATGTTCAATTTTTCTTTGTATATCTTTATTACCATCTCCTTCCATATTCTCAAAACTATAAGTAGAAAACTATATATTATTTGTTCCTATATATCCCACTAATGTTTTATCTCCTAATTAATCATCTGAAGGATTTCTGATTGTCACTTTGAACATACTATGTAAAGGTTCTTATTTGTCTATCAATAACCATTTAAACCAACCACTAATAGCATATTCTGTTGGTAAATCTACCTTATCACTTTAAGCAAATACTCCTTCCTCATCTGCTTTCCTTTATTATTAATCTCCCAATACATTCATAGTTATAATTTTTTAAACTCTTCTCTCTAATGTATAAGATTTCAATATCTTCTCTTAATCTACAAAAGAACCATCTTTAGAAGAGAATGATATCTTAGAAAATTAACCATTAAATCCAGGATATCTTCTTTTATCTGTTCCACCTACTATTAATTTTAAATATTTAGTATCTTAATGTGTAACCTATGTATGCTATATCTACTAAAATTTATCATTTCCAAATCTTATAAAACCAACAGCCTTTCCTAATTCTTTACTATATGAATAATAAACAAATGTCCAGACCCCTTCGATATCATCTGGATGTGTAAGTCTCTATTCTTAATTTGTATTCTTTGTTATCAAATTACAAGTAGAAAATGAATAGAATCCTTTACCTAAGAATATTGCTAATGCTCTATCACCCATATTAATATCATTATAATTTTGATTCCATGTCATTCTTGAAACAAAATACCAAGGAGCAGTTTTACCATTTTATAATTTTTTTGGATAAAGTGTTAAAAATCTCATCCAATAACCATAACCATATTATATAAATGGTTTCTCACCATCTTCAACCTATTCAAAACTAGGCTAATCTGAATCAAAACCACTCTACTCTATTTTTTCTTATCTTATTATTGGTTAAAATTAAACATCTTAAGTAGTTTTAATCAATTCCTTAATACCTAAATTGAAATTGAAAATCTCTTCATCAAATTGTTTTTGATTTTTATAAGAACCCATTCCAAAATTAACAACTACATATGCCATTTTACCATTCAATCCTGGATAAAACTTATCCTTTCCAACATATGCATATAATTTCTTTACATAATAATGATTTACATTCTCATATATTAATTAATCTTCATCTTCCTACCATTTCACATAAACATTAGCTTAACTCTTGATCTTTGAATATCCAAAATATATGAAATGCCATTTTGTATGTCTATCCTTTAAATTTATATTTTTATATAAGTTTGCATTTCCATTACCAATCATATTAGTATAAGTATAAGTTGGGAATTAATAAACACCTCCTTAAGTCTTTCCAATCCAACATGATAATGTTCTGTCTCCCAAAAAACTATCTGTTGATTCCTTTCGAATCTATATTCTGAATAAATTATGCCATTCCTTCTCCATTAATGTAGACCATTTGAACCATCCACTCAAAGCATACTCTGTAGGAAACTTAACTTTCTTATTCTTTATTTCTTTGTATTCATATATATTCTCTGATGTTCGTGCTTCCTCATTTTCTACAATTCTAAAACTCTGAACTTATTCCACAATTTATTAAGGTGCATCATGAATATTTAATTTCATTATCAACTATTCTGATGTCTAAAGAAATGTTCCCATTTTTATACCAAATGTTATTTTAGTGAAGATTCCATTAAAACTTGGAAATCTATTCTAATCACTTCCTCCTAAAATAAATCTCAAATATATTGTTGGAGCATGTTTTACATTTTACTTAATTGTTGAAAACTTTTAATTTCCAAATTTAATATGTCCAACAGCTTACTCAAGTTCTGCACTGTATGAATAATAAATATATGTCCAAACACCTTCTATATCATTTGGATAATCAACATTCAATAATACATTAGGTTTTAATCCCTCTATATCATATGTAGTAAAATGATAAAATCCTGCTCCTTACCATATTGCTAATACTCTATCACCCATCTTCATATTTTCATAATTTTTATTTCTTGTCAATCTACTTATGAAATACCAAGGAGCATCTTTCCCTTTAATTAGCTCTTTAGGATATAATGTTAAGTATCTCATCCAAAAACCATAACCATATTCTTGATAATTATTTGCAACAGTTATTCCTTAGTCAACTATTGGATTTTTTCCTTCTATATCATTTGATATTTAATTTTCATAAGTTTATCCTGGTATAATCTTAATTTCTTAAACATCTTCTAATTCTTCATCTTAATTTTAAACACATAAATCATCCTCTTAAATGGGCATGTCTATAGTTTATTAATCACTAGTATCATCATTTTTATGATCAATAATTTTGTAATCATGTTATTCTTATTTTATTGATTATTATGTTTCTTCTGAGGATTACACTACTTATTGATTTTATTATTCTATTGTTTATTCAACCGTCTTTACTTATTCTTTTGATGTTTCATTTATTTTTTAAGTAGTTTCATTAACTTATTAAGTTTTTTAAGTAGATTCTTCAGTTTATTCAGTTATTTATTTATTACTTTAATTAATTTATTAAGTATTTTCATGAGTTTCTTATACTGTTTTATTAATTTATTAAACAGTTTCATTAGTTTATTAAACAGTTTAATTATTTTATTAAATGGTCTCATTAGTTTCTTATATTGTTTTATTATTTTATTAAACAGTCTCATTCGTTTATTAAATTGTTTTATTATTTTATTAAATGGTCTCATTAGTTTATTAGGTTTATTTATTTGTAATTTATGTTACATCATTTGTTTATTAATTTATTTAATTAGTTTAGGAAGTAGTTTCATTCACCTATTAAGTATTTTAATTTGTCTCATTAACTTATGATGTAGTTTGTGATACTTTTTCATCTTTTATGTTTGTTGTCTAATTTACTTATTGAGTTTCTTGAGTAGTTGTTTTACTTTACTCAATATTTTGATCTACTCTTTCAGTTATTTCTTATTTTTATTCAGAACTATTTTAACTTTCTTCCACTTTGGTTTCTTTAGATTCTATAACTTATTATTAATTGACTGTTTAAGTTTCTTCTGAACTTTATTCTTTCTATTAGATAATATTATCTACACTTTTTTTTATTATTGGCTTATCAGTTGGAGTATCTTTGTCATTAATTTACTCTTAACATTATTACTATTCTGGTTGATTAGGCTTACCAGGTCTTAATTCTGGTGTATCTGAATAAGTTTCTATAATGGTATCATTATCAAAAGGAACTGGTCCTATAATAGCTGTTTATTCAGGTTAAGGAGCTTCATTATGAGTAGGTTAGTTATTTTATTACTATTCAACCTATTTTATTTCTTAATTAACTTTTTTAACTTCTTAATTAACTTAATTAATTTATTAATTTGATTATTTAACTTAATTAATTTCTTAGTTAACTTATTTAATTTCTTAATTAGTTTATTTAACTTCTTAATTAGTTTATTTAGTTTCTTAATTTACTTATTTAACTTCTTAACTTGTTTATTTAGTTTCTTAATTTACTTATCTAATTTCTGAACTAGTTTATTTAACTTCTTAATTAGTTTATTAAACTTCTTAGTTTACTTATTTAACTTCTTAATTGACTTGTTTAACTTCTTAATTAGTTTATTAAACTTATTAATTAATTTATCTAGTTTCCGAATTAGTTTATTAAGTTTCTTAATTTACTTATTTAACTTCTTAACTTGTTTATTTAGTTTCTGAATTTACTTAAGTAACTTATTAACTTGTTTATTTAACTTCTTAGTTTACTTAAGTAACTTCTTAACTAGTTTATTTTATTTCTGAATTTTATTATTTCACCTCTTAATTAACTTATTTAATTTCTGAATTAGTTTATTAAATTTCTTAATTAACTTGTTTAATATCTTAACTAGTTTATTTAATTTCTTAATCTGTCATCTCTGAATTAGTTTATTTAACTTCTTAATTAATTTCTTAATTAGTTTATTTAACTTCTTAATTAACTTATTTAATTTCTTAAGTAGGTTATTCTTATTATTTTTTTTAAGGAATTTAAATCTATGGTTTTATTACCTAACTACCTTTCAAATAGGATTCAACTGTATCTGATATATCATTTTTCATTTTAAAAGATCCATTCCCTAGGTTGAAGTAGACATAAGCTAACTTTCCTGATAGACCTGGATAAAAGTTATCTTTTCCAACAAAAATGTAAAAAGAAGGAGTCAAATAATGATTGATATTTTAATACAATAAATCTTATGTATCTTTAGGCCAGGTTACTTAAACATATGCTAATTTTGTAGATTTCTAATATCCAAAATACACATAAAACCATTCCAAATGTCTTTGATTGTGTTTAATATTTTGATAATAATTTGGATTTCCTTTTGGATTAGTATCATCGTATGTATAAGTTGGGAAATGTAATACTCCTCCTTCTATTGAACCTAGCCACATACATAAAGTTCTATCTCCCAAATAAATATCTGTTGAAGGTGATTAAATTTAAACTCTAAAAATATTGTGCCATGCTGATCTCTATTATCCAATTTATTTAAACCAACCACTAATAGCATATTCTTAAGGGAATCTCTAATTTTTATCATTTAAAGTTTTATCCAAAGATTGATCAGAGTCTTAACGCTATGTTTCATTTTCAATTAATTAATAAGTTATTAAATCAGTGAGATCAACCTTAGGTTATTCTAATTTAGACACAAATGCTATGAATTCATCTTTAGTTTCAAAATAGTTATCTTTTGAAATTGTAATCATAATTTTAGATATGAATCCATTGAATCCAGGATATCTATTTTAATCATTACCTCCAAAAATAAACTTCAAATAACTTATATCAGGATGTACTGCTTAGATACTTGTAGATTAAATATCAGATTATGAATATCTTATAAATGAATTTGCCATCTAATTTTATTTACTATAAGAATAATGAATGTATGTCCAAACTCCTTCAATATCTGTAGGATAATCAATATTTGATATAATATTAGCTTAATTCTTTTATGAATCACAAGTAGTAAAATGATAAAATGATTATCCCAACCATATAGCTAATAATCTATCACCCATTTAAACATTATCATATTTTCTATTTGATGTCAATCTAGAAATGAAATACCAAGGAGCATTCTTACCTTATAAAAGTCTTTTAGGATAAGTATGCATAAATCTAAGCCAAAATCCATATCCATAAATTTATGGACAATCTTCATATTCTTTTTCAAATACAGGTTCAGTAGATTCAAAAGATACTTCTCTATCTTCATTATCTTATAATGCTGGTTTCACTTCTTCAGGTTATTAATGAGGTTCTTCTTATTTTACATCATCTGTAATTTTTTATTCATTTTATTTTTACACTTTTTTTATAAGATTTGTATCTCCAATTTCATAACCAAACAAATCATCTTTAATTATGAAATCTGGTTTATTTCTAAAGGATCCTGTTCCAAGAACAAAATTTACATATGCAATTTTACCATTAAATCCTGGGAAATGTTCATCTTTACCAACATAAGTATAAAATTAAGGTGTATAATAATGATTAACATCATTATATTCTAAAGTTTCAATACCAGATGACAATCTAACTTATACAAATGCTTTTTTTTATTTTTTAGAATAACCAAAATATACAAAAAACCATTCAATATGTTTATTTTTGTGATGAATATTATTGACTAAATTAGAAGTTCCCTCTCCCTTCATATTTTAATATGAATAAGTAGGAAAATGGAATATTCCTCCTTATGCTGTTCCTATAAACATACATAATGTTCTATCTCCTAGAAACTTATCAGTTGATGGTTTGTTAATTTATACTCTAAAAACTGAATGCCAAACTTATTAAACAATCTCTTCCCATTTAAACCAACCACTAATAGAATATTCTAAAGGGAATTTCTTGGATCCACCTCCAACTGCCATATAATCTCCTTCAATTATAGGATTTCTAGTAATTTCTTAATCTATTAATTGAACTCTAAATATAGATTCGAAATCCTATGAAGGTTATTTAACTGTTTTAAATAAATTATTAAATTTATCAAGAGTAGGAATAAAAACACCAGAATTAGTTGATAAGAATATTGATGAAAATTAACCATTAAATCCAGGATATTAATTATTGTCTTTGCCACCTACTAAAAATCTTAAGTATTTAGACTTTGTATGTAATACATTATGAGTAATTTATTATGGTTATTCTTATCCAAATTTAATAATTCCAATTGCTTATTTTGAAATAGAATTATATGAATAATAAATATATGTCCATTATCCATCAATATCATCATGATGATTAACATTTTATACTATATTTGGTTAATTTTAAACTTCATCACATGTAGTAAAATGATAGAATCCTTATCCTAACCATATTGCCAATAATCTATCATTCATTGCTATATTTTAATAATTTTTATTAGATGTTAATCTACTTAAAAAATACCATGGAGCATCCTTTCCATTTTCTAATCTTTTTGGATATAAAGTCAAAAATCTTAACCAATATCCATATCCATATTCTATAAATTCTTATTCTTTTTCTATAGTATTTTCAAATACTGGTTTCTCTTGATCAACAGATGACTCATGTATTAATCCATTATCTTCAATTGTAATTGGTTATTAAATTTCAGGTTATTTGATTGAAGATTAAGGCTATTATTGTAATTTGCATTATTCAAGTGCTTATTAAACTTCCTTTGATTTTTGTTCTAATTTATCTACTACCATCTATAATTGATTGTATAATAGTTACTTGTTATGTATTAAGTTCTTGTTTTAATTCTTCTCTTTCATTAATAAGAAGATTAATCATTTAATCAATTTGAGTACAATACTCTAGGATATCTGAGAATGATTAAGCTTGTTCAATGAGATTGATTGATTAAATTAGCTTTTATGGTCCTTCTTGTCTCCATTAATCAAATGCTGTTAGTTCATTTAAACTGATTGAATTGACTAGTTCAACATAAGATTATTTGTATTGGAAGAGTCCTGTATTAATAAGTATTATATACTTGTCAATTCAGGATTGTGATTGTTTTTTATATTTTCAATAACGAGTTTTAATGCTGATAGATTATTCACATCATCATCTAAATAATCTTTATTTTTGAATATTTCAATCCATGTTTGTAAGGATTGCTGCAATTTAAGTAAGTCTTAGTCACAATTTAGATTTGTGAACTCTATTGAATTCAATTTTTCTAGATCATGAATTTAAACATAGCTTCCAAGTTTAATTTATTCTTAAACTAATTTTGTTTAACTACATTTACATGTCAATGCAATCATAAATATCAATAAGAAGTAAACTTATAACTTCTTCATTTGAATCAATAAATAATAAATAATAATAATAAAGACTTATTTAATATAAACAAGTTCCGTTTTTTTTTGAAGAGTAATTAAATATTACATTAATCTCTCTACACTAAAACTTATATGAAAATATTTAATAATTATATAACAAAATATCATATATCAATTGTTTTCTATTAATTATATAAACATAAAAACATTCAAAAGTTTCCCAACGATTCAAATGAAGACGAGCTATTTGCTTACCTTGATTTACGTTCATATGCTAAATAATCTTCAAGGTACTTATGAAGTACAAAAAAATTGGAACTGCTAATTGTATCTTTTTTAATAATTCTATAAACTTATATACAAACTATTAGTAGATCCAAAAATACTAATAATTCAATGAATAATGTAAACAAAAATATCATCAATTTTCTATTTCCTTCTTAAGATAAATAATAACATTCTTATATTCCACCCTTCATATACATAAAATAACTTTGAAAACAAATATGATTTAATAGAAGTAACATTGAAAATGACACTAAACCTTCATAAAATTTTAAGTTTCCTCTTATATGTGGATTTTTCTGTTTTTTTATTACTTATATTAAGTAATCTATTTATAATGTTTCTACATATATAATGAGCACATATAGAAAAATATCGAAAATATAAAGTATTAAATGAGCCTCATTCTTAATTACACATAAAGTATCCATTAGAGACTCCAATATAATCATTATCAAAATCAACATTAAAAATATTACCCTGAATTTTTTGATTCTTTTCAGTCTCATTTTCTATAAAAATAAAATTAAAAACAATTATTTTTTTCATTATTAAACAAATTTATCAAAAATCAATCAATCAATCTAATAAAGTATCCACTTTTTTCTTTGGTCTCATTATAATTTTTATTAATCTAGTATCCAGATTTCCAAATGGTAATTCAACTAAAAGTGATAAAAACAATCCAAAAACAATTGAAAGAGTTACAGCACAAACAAAACAAGTTATTAAGTCTAATTAAGCGAATGATGGAGTTTCATAAAATGTCTCAGTCAAAATAACAATTATCATTAAATGTACTAAATACATAGTAAATGAGATTTTTGCCATCAATTTAAATAAAGTATTATTCATAAATTTAGTATTAAATCTAAAATAAGAATATTATATATACAAATCATATGCTCCAACTAAATTAGGTAAAATAATTAATGTCAATCCAAAAGTAAATAAAAATCTACAAATAGCATGATAAATATGTTAAAACCATTTTGGCCAACTCATTTCAATCTAATTAAATTCTTTTTTCCATCCAAAAAAAAGAAATGACATTATTCCAAATCCCAATCCATAACAACTTAATTACATTATTAATCTCTATCCATTGCTTTATGCATAATCTCTAAATTAATGCAAATAAGTTATTTTTCCACTTTTTTTTGATTATTTGAATTCTCTATAAAGTATACCAATTAATAAACCTAAAAAATAAGGAGGTGCTCTAGCATAAGAACTAACATAAAATTTATAATAATAATCTGGATTGTAAGTATTTCTACCTGGTATAAGAAAATCATAATGAAGTGTAAGATAATAAGCCCATCCTAAAGTTCCAATAATCATCAATATTATTAGTATTTTTGAAAATAGTTTATAATCATAACAATATATTATTATTGGTATTAAACATGTTAAGAATAATTGAAAATCACATGTTAAATACCAACCCCAACCAAAACATATAAGCCAATCTTCATAAAAATTATCAATAAATAAGGCATTTTTCCATGCTCCCCCTGGACATTAAGTTGCTCTTTCTTATAAAAACCATCTAGGTCCACTTCCTAAATAAGGTATTATATATGAATTTATAGCAATGCATAATAAATAGCATGGCCATATTCTCATTAATCGATGAGTAATACTTAATATTATTGATTATGGTTTCTAATGTAAAGTTTAAGCTTTTCTTTCTTCACACATCACATAACCTAGAAAGAAACCTCCCAACCAAAAAAAAATATCAACAGCATACATCATATCATAAAGTATGATAATAACCCAAGATTTATATTGAAGATTAACTTCATTAATATATGTAGTAGTAGCAGTCATTTCATTAACATGTCCATAAGCAACCATCATAAATGAAATAGCTCTGATTCCATTAAATATGGCTAAATTAGGATCTATAGTTTTAAGATTGATTATTTTATAGTAATTCACTATGATTGAGAAATCTTTAATAATAGATGTTGGTTAATATTGACTTTTATCCTATAAACCTTCTCTAAGCCACTATGGACTCTGTAAACTAGAAGATCTTTAATCTCTAACATCTGGTGTATACTTGCTTTAACATGCTGTTATAAATCTCAATATAGGATCAATAGTTATAAGGATAAATAAGATTAATAATATTCCTGATGTAACATAGGTTTCCCAACCAAGATGTGGAAAATAAGATAATGGATCATAGAAATTTAATTATAATGTATCTGGATTAATCTACATTGAATGCATTAATTTACATTAAATAGATTTGCAATTCCACTGTTGTTCAATAGTTGTTTTATAGTTTATTATCCATCTTTAGAATTGAAATCTTTGGCTGAACATTAATTGGAATGACAAAATCCATAATATTATTTAAAGAGTTGTTAATCAATTTCAACTGATGTATAAGAATAGTCATTTCTATGACATCTATCATAGTATCCGAACTTCCCTATCCAATCACCTGATAGAGAATAATAAGGTAAGATTGTTTAAAGCTATTCATCAATAGGTAATTCAATCAATTTTTTTAGTTAATTTATGCATACAGATGAATTATTAGCAGCATAACATATGGTGATCATTAAAATGAATAGTAAATTCAACATCAATTATGAATATTATTATTTATAATATATATATATATATATTTTTTTTACTAATAAAAATTAACATTTCTTTATTATTATATTAGTGTATTCTGGAAATAAATTATCTATATATTTTATTTCAATATTAATTACTTCTTCTTATTATATGAGATTTATCATTTTAAATTCAGATTCTGATTAGAACTATTAAATTTAAATCTTAAACTTTTTCTTATATGTTTTATTATTTAATTTATGTCTTATTTTAAATAAATTATATTCTCTACTTAGTCTTGTTAATCTTCAACATTTAAGAATATGGAAAAATAAATAATTATTATTTTATTGTATGCCATCTAGAAATAGAGTAACTTAAAAGAATTAGTCATTTATTAGTTTTAAATATGATCTATTGCATCAATTAACATTTCTATTTTGAATTTTCTTTAATTAATTATGTAATTTCATATCTGATTATATTATTTTATACAGATTTATTATCATTAATTTGCTATACTAAATAGTTTATTTTTGTAGTTAACAGAGTATTTTTGAGTTATTAATATTTTATTAGGTCCAATTCTGTCTTTAACTATATATCATTAGTTTTGTAAGGTTTCATATTTAATTTATTAATAAATTTTACATCAAAGTGATTTCAATCATTTTTGTTATATTTCTAATTAAAGATAGTTAATGTTATCATACGTAATTATTATATACCTACAGAGTTATTAAATGTTGAGCAATTTAAAGAGATGATAACAATAATTAATTAAGTCAACTCTATAAATATGGGTAATCATCTTTTAAATAAAATGTGACTGTGTAATATACAAATTATCTAAAATATTGATAAAATGATAAATCCTTAAATTTTATAAATTTGAAACATTTATACCACAAGAATATTTTTTTTATTCTTAGAAGGGGGTCTATAGATGTTCTGAGGAAATTAGCCGATTCCAAAATCTCTCCACCTATTCTCATTTATTAAATAAACATAATGGAATAGGATCTCAAAGGAGCTGTCATTTAATCTCTTTAGACTACTGATGATACTGCAAGGACTAAGCGGCCTTATAATAAAATATCCTCCGAATTACGTGCTTAAATTTTACATGCATTAACAGTGGAAAAAATCCCTCTTTCTGAAGTAGCAATTTGAATCAGACCTAGGTAGCATAGAAATATCAAACAAAACCTTGCACATGCAAAGCCATTTTGCTTACTTATGAATTAGAGGGGAGAAGTGAAAAGAAAACTTCTAGAAGAGAAAGAGTAGAAATTGAATCAAAAATAAGAATTGTTGTTTTGGACCCTTTTGGAAATAAGCAGTCAACTTATGAAAATGCCAAATTTTCAAAAGTAAGTCATTAAATTTTATATATTAAATTAGTTATATACAGAAGACAAAGAACTTAGTGCAAATGAAGAATTTAACATTCAGAAAAAGGTTGTTTAAGAAGTTACTTAATAATTAGGTGAATTACAGACAAGTTGTTATCATTTACAATCATAATAAAGTTAAACACAAAATGATGAACATGCCCCTGATAATATTTTAAGAGGTTTAAATATGGGCTTGCATTTAGTGACATCAAAAATTAGAGAAGGATAAATTACATTTAACAAGAAAACCAATAAAGAAATTAAGGAAATAAATAAACAAAGCAATTAAATTACTATTAATAATAATAATAATAATAATAGTAATAATAATAATAATAATAATAATAATAATAACAATAGTAATAATAATAATAGTAATAATAATCATTCAAATTATAATTATTATAATAATAATCATAATAATAATAATAAAAATGAAATACCATTTTACATCAATTACACATAAATCTAGTAATTTTTAAAGAATGTTGAAATCAAATCAGAAAGCAATCCTTATATCTAAGATTAATTGAACTAGTTGACAAATTAAACTATATTTTAAATGAAACTAATATAAAAAATTTAGCAAAGAGACTCTTAAATAAAATAGTTTCAATAGCAAGTAGGTATCATCATTAGAAAATGTTTTGAATGCCAATCTTGATAATATTTATAAATTATTTCTATTATTCATATTCATCCTTTATTATAATTTTATTTCAAAAAATAATAATAATTGAGTTACTTATTTGAGAATTAAAATCTAATTTGAAGAAGTAAATAGATCAAAAAATGAATATTATCACTAAATTCATAAGTTTTCTAATTAACTAATGTTCATAAAATATTAACATTTAATAAAGTATTTTCAATCATATATTTGAAGCTGGCATTAAAATTATTTTGAAAATCATTCCAGAAGAGAATGAATAAGCAATTGAATATTCTGATTAAATATCCTATAAGCAAAGGTGATTTAATAGATGACTTTTAGGAAATTTTTTATTTTCTTAGAATAGTAATGTGTACCAAATAAAGATTCTTTATAATAAATAATAGCCAATATTGATGTTTGCTAAACATCTGAAAATATTAAATTTGGAAAAGAAAATATTTGATTTGGTTATGATTTTGATTTAGATCAGCTTTCATATTTAAAAAAAGTAGGAATAGAACACTTTGAATTCTAGGATAAATAACATTATTTAATTTGATTGACATGAAAATGATGATATATAATTAATAAAGGTAAAAGTTTTGGAATTATTTATTAATAAAAATCTTATAACAGAGTGGTTTAATAAATTCGAATTAATTTTTACTAAAGGAATTCGAATTGACCAATAATCAATTGAAAAAGTTTATTATGATTATTTTATAATAATAATACCATATTAATTAAGAGAGAAATATAATCAAATTTGTTGAAGATGTCAACTTATGTATTATCCTAATATTAGGTCCAACTCTTTTTATAGATTATCTGGGTTCTCTTTATTAAATGGTTTTATGTATGATTCTTTGGGGTTAGTTTCATTAAACTCTGAAAATTGAAACTTATTTTGATTATCAACTATATTTGTTTCTTATCCTGTTAAAATACAATCATTTTATTCTGGTTCTATTACTAATTAATATTGAGGTTTTTCTTTCTTCCTCTTAATGTTGATTAAGTTAGTTTCTGTTTAACTCTATCCTTGTTATCCTTAAAATTATGGTGAGACTGGTTCAATTTATTAATCTTAATTTTCAGCATCCAATAAAAAAGAATTTTTAACTTGATATTTATAAGTTTAGACTTGCTTCTAATTAAATGTATAAGATGATTTCTTTTTCAATAATGAACTTTATTTAGGTTCATCTAAAAAAGGATGCTTTAAAAGTTCATCTGCTGTAGCTCTTTATTTAGGATCTATTTATAAACATTTAGATAAGAAATCTTTAGCTTCAGGAGATTGTAATTATTCTGGTATAGGAGGTGGTTTTGTAGATTTCCCTATTTTGACCATGATTGCAATTGCATCCTTATATTCAGAATAAGGTGGTTATCCAGTAGCCATTTCAATTATAGTACAACCAAGACTCCAGATATCTGCTTTTTTTCCATACTATTCTTGATTGATTACTTCAGGAGCCATGAAATTTGGAGTTCCACAAATGGATCCTATACTATCATGTGTTATATCATTCAATTATTTACTGCTACCAAAATCTAAAATTAAGTATGAAATTACCTGCTAATTTACATCTACCAGAATTATCAATTAAGATGTTTCCTCCTTTTATATCTCTATGAATAACATTCTTTGCATGTAAATAACTTAATCCTAACAGTATTTATTTCAAATATGTTTTGATAAGTCTCTCTTTAAAACATCCAAATCTTTCCAGCAAAGTATAGACTGAGCCTCCACTAACATATTCAAGAAATATATTTATGAATTGATTTTTCTATTCACATCCAATATAACGTACTATATTTGGATGCTACAATTTACTTAGCATTTCAATTTCTTTTTATAATTGTTTCACTTTCTACAATATTTATATATAATACATCATCATTTTGATTTTAAATGAATACCTGTTTCACAGCCATTATTTATCCATTCTTCTAGAGTCCCATTATTACTTTCCCAAAAGCACCTTATCCAAGTACTTCACCTTATTCCCAATTATGAATACTATATATAATAGTTTATAAATAATACTCTGAATCTGATTTAAGTGAGTGTCTCTCTAACTCTTCTTCTTTATTATCAATTATTATAACTTCCACATCTTAAATAAATGATTATTCAAGTTCTTATTGTTTGTCATTTTTATTATTTTTATTGATGTATTCATAAGCTTTTGTGGGTTTAAGTTGGTTCTTTTTTTTTGTAAAGCAGCAACCCATTTTTAATATATTTTAATTTAATGTTTAAAAATATTTATTAAATATATAAGGTTGAAATATATTAATTAATGAATTGATTAAATTTATACAGAAATATAATAAATATAAATTTAAGAAATGATATAATCTATTAAAAGTAAATTAATTAATTAAATAAATGAAGTCATCAGGAAATGTTATTTAAATATTGAATAATTATAAAATAATATTAATAATAATGCAATACGGAATATTATTTATGTTTTTGTCAACTGTGACAAGTTTCAACTATTTACCAGAAATTGAGATTGACTTAAGTGCTACTCCAAAATAAAGATGGAAATTAGCAGTCAGAACCATACTTGACTTATATGGATATTAAAATTCTTTTGGTCCAGTCTTCGAATATCATAATAAAAATACATTCTATATCTTGGAACCATAAGACTATAAAACTATAGCAAATGCAATTAGAACACATTATCCTGAATATTCATAAGAATTAGATGGAATTGTAGAAGAATTCAATAGAAACGAAATTACATTTGAATATTTATCTGCTTGGGCATATTTTCATGAAATTGCTCATATATCAGCTGAAATCATTGAATCCACAGCTGTTCTACTATCAACTGCTGATTAAATTATACATGGTAGAAATATGGATCAAGGTCCACCTTAAATTAGAAATATAACTTTACACTTGATCATAAAAAAGGATGGCAAATATTTAGGTGAATCAGTTGACTGGTAATGGTTCAAAGTAGGATTTGTTACTTTACTTAAATATAATGTTGCATCACTTGATTAAAATTGGAAATTTAGTGATCCTCTCACCAAAGACTAACTCTTTACATTTATTGAATAAGGAGTACCCTCTTTAGCTTGGGAATATAGATATGTGTTAATTAATGATAATTTGAACACTTTCGATAGAGTTGTCTTATATTTAGAATAAAATTAAGTAGCTTGTGCCATTTATAATGTTATTGGAGGAACAAGTAAAAATTAAGGAGTAATTATCTCAAGAGATCCATTCGATATGAATCCAACAATTAGTTTGAATACTTCTATTCTAGGTTAAACTAATTATTAATACTTGGTATAAACCAATTATGATCATTGGTTACCAGACCCATAGAATGATTAAAGAAGAACTATTGCTGAAAATTTATTAGGATAGTTATAGACTAATCTAAGGAATGAATTTGGAGTTTTTACTGTGATGGACACATATCCAATTCATAATGAGGGCACTTTCTATACTATAATAATGAATGCTAAATATAATAGGTTGATAGCATTTGGATAACCTAGTATTACCTAAACTGATAATTGATGACTGATAATTTATTAATTTAAATATTCTTATATAATAATTATCAATCTAATTTTATAATATACTGTAATTTATATTATTTTTGAAATAATTTGTAACCTTAATAGCAATTATATATCTATTTAATTTACCCTAATATTCATTCTCCAATCAGTATGGATCAATTTTCTAATCATTAAAAGAAATGATATTAATGTCATTATGTCATATTAAATAGTTGATAATATTAATGTCTTATTAAATAGTTGATAAAGAGAGATGTATCTAATGTTATTTATTAATGAGTTAAGTAGATAAATTTAAATTAAACGCTATTTATGAGACTATAAGAAAGAATTTTATTAATAGTTTTAAATGCTAAAAAGTATTAATACATTTATATCATCAGCTGACAAATCTATCTTTCTTTTTTAGAATTTATTGTCTCTCAAATACAATAGACAAATATGAATCAAAATATCTTTTAGAGGCTAATAATCAATATTTTTGATTTCAATCAACTTGAATACAATATTTGCTAATGTGGCTGAATATTTATAATCTTACTTGAGGATATCAATACAAAAAATTAATTAATTTAAAGTCTGTCGTTTTTTGATCTGATAATATTTTGAGTTATTGTAAATGAATAATATAACACCTTAATGAAATTAATTCAAAGAAAAAGTAATTAATTAAATAATTTAAATTCATATATGTCTCTAATGTATTTATAAATAGATTTGATACTTAGTAAGGTATATTTTTTTCGATTATTATCTAAAATGGAAAGAATGTGCTTTGAGCTTATTGAAACAAGGATGACAGGCCATTTTCAAACTTGTCAAGAAATTTCTAAGTGATTTAAATTAATTAATTAATAGAAGTAATAATAGTAAAAAAAATTTGAAAAATAATTTACTATGTTATTATCATTATAGGATTTAACAAATAATAAGTGTAATTATTTTTCCATATAAAATAACAAATTAGTTAAAATGTAATTTCTCATTATATAACTTGAATTGAAGTAAATACTAATAATTATATTTTTAATTGATTATTTTAGTCCAGATCCTATCATTTTTTAATTATTAAAAATAAGATTTCCAAAAAATAAAGCACAGATTCTTATAATCAGGATCTAAAAAGAAGGCAAAATTAATAATAAATAATTTGATATAAGATAATAAAATATATTTAACTTCAATATAATAATAATTAATAAAAATAAAATCAGATTTATTCAAATGTAAGGATTACCTCAAAAAAAGTGTTAATTGCTATTTAAAGAATAGATGCCTGTTAAAAAAAAGAGTTCCTAATTTGTTAAATTGAAGACTCTAACTCTAAGTAATTGGAAATCAAAAGAATTGACATCATAATTACTTAGTCCAATAAAATATTAACCACCTCCAATCATGGAACCAAGAAGCTAATCAAGAGCAAATTTCTTTTAATCTTAGCATATCATAATAAAAATATTTGATGGAAAACAAAATTTTATAAAAAAGCAATATTTTAATTTCTGATTATCATTCATATTTGATATCATAATCAATAATAATTTCTTCTTAAAATTTAAAATTTCATCTTAACATACATAGTATTTTTTAAAAATAAAGTAAATAAAGACTCATTTTTTATTTTGGATAAAAAAAATATAGAAAAAGTAGAAACCAACTTTCTTTATCTAAGAATACCAATAAGTAAGAGTTAAATTATAAAGAAATAATTTAGTCAGTATTATATCTAAATTAGTTAGAATTTTTTGTCATACTCTCATATTATTTATAATATTCTATCTAAAATGGACGATATAAAGTAATTTAATGAATTATAAATAATAAAATATGTGAAATGAATTTTATAAAGAATATTTAAATTTCTATTATTTTAGTATGTTTGAACAATGAGAACTTTGAATTTAGAATTAGTTGATTAATTAAGTTTTATTTTAACACCCAAAATAGTAAAAACTAGTTTTATTTATACAATTATTTTAAATAAATTCTTATCTGCATCTTATTATTATCCGTATTTGCTAGCTATGTCACAAATACTCATAAAAGCATTGCATAATAAAAAGTTAGTAAGTTTTAACATTGCCTTTTTTGAGTTCAAAAAGTTAGGTGAAAAAGTAATCATCTAAGTTTCAAATAGGCTTGTAAATTCTAATTCTAAGAGATATTATATAAAACATTGGGCTTAAATTACAAGTGACTCTGAGAGTTCCAAAAAAAGGCTAATTATTAATAAAAGCACATTGTGAATACATTCCAGGAATTGTTTGAAATATAATTGACCTTATAAAGAATATAAGTGTATATTCCTACACAACCAGAGATTTAAATGGAAATATTCTTGAAACAGAAACTGGAGATATAAATTGAATGCTGTATATCTTGAGATGACCTCAAAAAATTAAGATTCAAAATTTTCAAACCTTTAATGAAATAATGAATGATGAGATTTAATAGCTGTAACATTCAAATAAAATATTAACATTATATTTTCTATTTATTTTAGTTATTTTTTATTCTTCTTCTTTTAAATTGAAAATAATTAAAATTTTGATATGTTTCAAATATCAATATCAAATAAAATAAAAATACATAAATAGTAAAAATTTCAGTAATTTTTGTCTGATAGTATTTATTTATAAATTATATGATGAGGATTTAGTATATTTTTAATAAAATATATTAAATAAATGTATGCAAAATATTAAAATTATAGAGAATAAATTTTATTAATAATATGTTATCATATTATGAAACAAATTATTATTATGAATATTAATAATAATATAATTTATAATTATTGTATTGAATGATAATTATTCAATGTTTCTTTTTTTTCCATGAATTGACCTTGTCTGTTAGCCAGTCTTAAGTTAAAAGAGTAATCATTGTATGAGGTGCAATTCTGAAATAAAATGTTGGAAATCCTACCCAAAGTCCTATAATACCTTCTCTTTTAGCTGTCTATGAATAGTCATGTTTCTTACTTTTCCCATTGCATCAAAAATTGAAGAATAAGGATATACACCTGCTGCATCCTTTTTCATTTTCTACATTTTAGTTTTTGCATTATCAAAAGGTAAAGCACAAAATGAACTCAAAAAGCCAGCTGATGCAGATGCTCTATTAGAAATATAATTTAACAATATACAATAATCTAGTTTATTGAGTATCTTTGGTTCCAAAATAGTGATTTAATCGTTCCTTTATCTCATCATAAGGTCCCAACATTGCTACATTTATTACAATTGCTCTTATAACTGTTGGAGTAGATCCTCTCCATAATGCTACTATTCCTTCATCTTTCACAATTTTATAAAATGCATCAAAAACATTTTTATATCCTCTTCTCTCTTCTACAGGCAATGTACTATCTGCCTAGATTCTGACCAAAGCTAAATCAGCTGGATTACCTGCTAATGAACCAAGGAAACCTGCTACAATTGAACACCAAGATTTAGCTAAAAATGAAGGCTCTTTTCCATTATTTGCTTGTTTTGATCTTTAATACATTGTCTTATAAATTCCCATACGAGTGGTAGTGTAAAATACTTATCTTGCTAATGCTGAGTCAATTCCTTTCCAAAAACTTAATACACCTCCTTCTTTTAAGATTTCAGAGAAGACACGAAATGGACTGATCTCGCTACCTGCACTAGGACCTAATTTTTCTGATTTGAGCTGGATTCTAACTTTTATTAAGTCGACTGGTTAAATAAAACACGTAGCCACACATCCAGATAAACCACCTATTGCAAATGGTTACAAAGTATCAGTAAGTTTAGTCAGCCAATGCTTCTCAAGAACATTTTCACTCATAATTGATGCGTATTATTGTATTTAATATGAAAATTAACAAATGATATATATTTTGCAATAAATCCAAATATTTATTATATAAATAATTCATTTTCATTGTAAAAAATGTACATTCAAACAAATTCTAAAAGTTTTATTATAGAAATATTGAATTGATATAAGAATCTTAAATGTATTCTAAAATTAGTTTTACAATTTTAATTAGAAATTATATAATTTTATGTAAAAATCAAAATTAGTTAGTATTTATAAAAATATATAAGAGTTTCTATTTTTATGATTTAGTATTCCAAATTTATTATTTCATTATATGTTATAAGTGTTTCAATACGTAATTTTGTTTTTATTTGCTTTGTATATGTATTAATTAATCGTTTACATTATAACAAAATAATTTATAAGCTTTAATTAGCGCTCTTTAGATTTTGGATTAAATCTTGTTATCGACGTACTGTTGTATGAAAATAATGCAATTCAATACTTTTTGATTAACATCTAATTATAAGATAAGCAAATTGAGAGTATAAATTTATTGATGATATATGAGTATTTATTAGTGGATTTCGAAATAAACAAAATCTTGAAATAATTTTAAATTCTTCTTAATCAAATGGCTTAATTTCATAAAGGTTTTACATGGACATAATGTACGAGTACATTGAAAACAAAAAATACCTTCATCAATTTAAGACAAACGGTGACTCCTAATCAAGGACCAGTTTTATTGAAGATTGATACTGAGAGAGAATTGAAATATACAAATGATCTAGGATGGAATTGGCATAAGAGTTGGAATATTCCAAACATTTCTGTTAAAATTTCTTTATAGAATGAAGAATGCACATAATGGATCAATTGCTAGGTATCTTATCTAAATCTAATTTTAGGTTTAATTAATGGCTGTGAAGATGTTGTAGAATGATCTTTTTGAAGAAGTAGGATTAGAAGGAATAACATAATACGACATTATAGATGGTAAAGCTTTCTTTTCGGTATTTCTTATTAACAATTGTAGGGCGTAAAATTTAATAGCACAACTTACAATCACTAAGGACATAGATTTCAGTTATTAATATTACTGAAAGAGAAAGAGAACATCATTCTTGGGCTATAATCACCACCAGTTTTTGTCGACAGTAGAAAAAGTGCTAGAGATGAACACAGATAAATCTAATATATCCAGCCTTTCGAACCTAGATATCTAGAACGTAACTTCTGTAAAAAAGAAAAACACTTTAATGATGTAGTTGATGCTCCAATTGAAAATAATGAAAATGGATTACACAATTATTTAACAGCTCCAAATATTAGAAATAAAGTATAAATTCTAATCTATTTTAGATAAAACATCCCTTATTTATGGCACTTAAGTTCTCTAGATGTTTAAATATTTACTATTAAAATAATTTAGAAACTGATAATTATCTAATTGAATTTTAAAAACAATTAATGTCAAAATACCAATAATCTCAATACATCATTGTCTTTTAATCAAATAACAATAGAATTAGAAAGAAGGTAACATTAATTATATACTTTTAGATTGAAGAATCCTTAACTCAATTATTTGGCTAAAGTATGATATCTGTTGTTGAAAGAAAATATCTTGATGAAACCTAATTTAAGAAGCTCGAATTTTCATCAGATGATTATTCTTTAATCTATACTTAATTATAAGAGTTAATGAATTAATATTCATAAGATTAATATAACTAATCTGTGAAATAATAATAAGAATAATAATAATCAGATATGAATATAGAATAATAATAATAATAATAATAATAAGAATAATAATAATAATAATAAGAATAATAATAATAATAATAATAATAATAACCAATTCAAACTGAACAACTTCTTCAATAACAACCACCTAAAATATTAACTCATTCAGAAAGAAAATCTGCATTTACAAAATATCTTGATAAATTACCAACTAAAAATTTCGAAGAAGAGAAATAGGAATAATAGTAGAGAATGGAAAAACTCAATAATATTCGAGAAATGGAAAATTATGATAAAGTTTAAAAAATAGTGAAGGTTGAAGAAGAATTAATTTAAAATAGAACTTAATAATAATAATAATATTCATAATAATAATATTAATAATATGCACCAATCAATCATCCTTTTTCAATATTACTACAACAAAAATTGTAAGAATAAATCTTGTAGTATTATTTTATCTAATAGTAGCTAATGCTACTCTAAAAGCCCCCTTCTGTGTGATATATTTCTATATAGAATCAATATTAATATTTAACTTAATTTATAATAATCAATTTCAATTTTTATTTATAAATGTTACAATTATGATTCAACCTCTTTTATAAATGTTCCTAAATATTACTAACCCTATAAATGAGAGAATTTCCAAAACTGAGTGATACTTTATAATTTAGGTTTTTTACTTTTAGTTTTGTATTATATAGTATTATATATGACAAAATAAAAGTTATTATTATTATAATTAAGCTAAACAAGGATATATGTTTCTATATAAAAATACCAGACTCTTTAAAGAGGTTTGGAATTAATATTAAAAATAAACCTATAACTTGAATGCTTAAAATCACTATCTTATAATTAGTAATTAATTCATAAGATAACTATTCTTACTATTGTGTAAATGATTAAATAAATCTAAATCATTAATTTAAAATAAATTAATAAATTTAATTGTCTATTTTCATAAAATCTGTATTAATACTATATTTTTCTAAACTAATTAAATAGATAGTCATCTTCAAAAACAATTTTAATTAATCAGAATAAGTATTCAACTTTTAAAGGCTACCTTCTAATTAATTTAATAAGAATATTTATTTATGTTTTAATTAAACCTTGTATTTCGAAATTTAGTTATATCTAATTTAACTATGGCTTATATTATTAGAGATTTTTCATCCAATAATTGCTCTAATTTCTACTAGTATAATGTGTTAAATATAATATACAAGTTTAACTTTTATTTTGAATTGGTAAATAAATCTAAAAGATGAATTGAATATTTTTTTACTAAATTAAATGATAGTTTAGCATTCATTCGATTTTAAAGATTCAAAAATTGGATTGAAGATAATTTTGAAAGGAGTACAAATATTATTAGACTAAGGCCAAAAAAGGATATATAGATAAAAGAAAAAAATCAATATTTAAATATCATGTATTCATATGTTTATATAGCATATTCAATAGATATAGTATATTTTTATTAATCAACTGAATTATGACTAATTAAATAGTAGTTAGTCAAGTGATAAAAATTAATTGAAGCAAAGAAAATTAAAGCATTCTAAGATAATTTAGATGTAAAAGTATTGAATTTAGTTTTAAACTATTTGCAGGAATGCATAATTCAGTAATATATACAAATTTAAAATAAATAATTTTATGGATTAAAGTTTCTACCAACCTTACTAATTGAAGAAAAATAGTATAGTATAATATTATATTATAGATGAATTACCTACTTTTATCGGATTAGCTTGATTATTAATATGATTGTTTAGAATTAGAAAATGATTAATGGACAAGTATTTCAATATTGAAAGGCTTTCCATAATATATTAAAATTAGGATTCAAGATTATTACCCTTTGAAAATATTTTTCAATGTAGGAGCCTTTAAATGCAATATATATTTTTCATTTTTAACTTCTTAGCCATCTGAAAAGAATCATCAGAAACATGTTGTTATAAAATAATAAAAAATAATTGTAATTAAGAGACCAGAAGAACATAAGAATTATTTATTTTTCTCTCTCTTATCAGATTATAGTACTTCAATTAAGCTTAAAGCATGGTTTTAATGTAAAAATATTATGTGTTAAAATAATAGCATCCCAATATGACAGATGTTATTTTCTTTGTTATGATGGAAAAGAATAATTCAGAATGAGAAGTGGTTTTTAAAATAATAATAATACAGATGAAGAATCTATTAATACCAATAAAAATAATATTACTTCTGTAAACATAAAAAGTGCTGAAAGATCTTTAATAAATGAAAGTGTTCCTCCTCTAAAATCATTTAGTGATAATCGTAGAATCAATTCTGTAAAACACAGAAATGAATAGATTTCATTAAAAAATAAAATATTATTAGTTTAACAGAAAAAGCTCTAATTATTATCATAAAATGTAATTTAAAAATACTAAAGAATGTTAGTACAATCTTATAAATCATTAAATTAATCAAGAATGATGAAAAAATACATTAATTAATGGATAATTAATCTAAATGTCTTAAAGTTTATAGAAATGCTTTATGCTCATTTTAAAATCAATAAAATATTAAGATGTATGAATAATTCTCCTAAATATTATACACAAAGATGGAAATAAATGAATGAAAAAACTTCATCTTTAAATATGAGAGTATTAATGCAAGCTAATTTAACTCTATCAATCTTTTCAAAATAATTAAATGAAAAAATTTCAAAATAAATATCAGAACTTATATTAATAACTTTAAATGATACTCTTTTCATTAAAAAACAAGCTTAATTATAATAATCTTTTATGAATTTTTACTTAAAAGTTAAACTAATATAAGAATTTTATTTTACATAAAGAAATAAATTCTATCTTTAAATGGAATAAATGATTTAAAATATTAGATAATAATCCCCATAAATACTTATTTCTAAATAAAGAATGAAAAGAATTATGTTCGAGTTTTATTAATAATTGTGTACTAAACATAAATAAGAATATTAAAAATTTTCGGAGTTGGAAGTACCTAATGTTACTTTATTAACTTCAGTATTCGCAATATTTTCAAAACCAAAATTGAATATCATGAAGAATTAAACATTATTGCTCTAAATTATTGAACAAACCAAATGATATATTATTATAAAATACATTTCTGAAATTATTATAATTCATTTTGCGGCATCCCATTGTTATTTTAATCCAATAATTGAGCTAATAGTTCCAAAGAAACCAATCCATTTACCAGGTACTCTTCCATTACTAATAAATCCATAAGCACTCTAATATTAAAAAATGATATTTATACCAGCAAGTCCATAAAGGCTCTTAATAAATCCAATTTAAGATTGAAAAGGCGTTGGGATGATTTTGAATCTTAAGTTTTATTTTCTTCTTCTCTAATTTCTAAAATTAATGCAACGCAATCAAAGAACGCCTCAAAGCACCAAAGTGCGTCACTCCAATAATCTGCCTTAGCTTCTAGTTATGGGTTTTGGATAACTTAAATCTAAGTTAAATATTGAATTTACTTTACAAAACCAATGAGTATGATCAACTAAAAAATAAAGAAAGCAAGAAATATTCATCAATATTTTATTAAGAATGATTGCTTTATTTCCTTTTGATTTTGTTAATTCCATAATTGAAATTATGATACCAATTGTTCTTCCAAATCTTAAGACTTTTCTTGTTAAACTCATATTTGAGCTTAAATTTTTACACTTTAATGATAATTCATCTTATTTTAATTCTTTCAATTATTCTGCACAAAATTTACCAAAATATTGTAATATTCTACAAGACTAATTAAATTATAATATATTTAATACTTACTTTATCTCTTCCAGATGTTTTAGATAATAAAATAACAACTCTTTTAAAATTTTACATTCTTATTTACTTAATTAAAATATATATTATTAAATATTATGTTTTTGATAAATTTAAGAAAATCATCTTCTTCTAACTCCTGCTCCCTCTAATTGATTTACAATCTTAGGAAATAGGGATTATTAAGTTAATAATTAATCCATTAACTTATTATGTTCATTAGTTCTATAATTAAATATTATTATTACCTTTCAACCCATCTATTATTAGTATTATCTAAATTATCTGATGCTGTCTTAAAATTGGTTTATGCATCTCTAAGTAAATTTTACTTAGTTTAAATTTAAGCTTATAAATAATAAATTATAATTACCATCTCTAGTTTAGATTTCAGCCTAAATAGTTGGAATGACAATTGTTGATAAATTATTTATTCTTTAATTATATTGACTTAAATTGTGATCATCAATTGCTCTTATCTATTGATAAGAATTTTCTAAGTCTGTTTTATTTTTCACAACAGTGTCTCTTAAATTTTGAATTAACTTTTAAACTTTTGCACTTGCTTCAGAATCATTGAAACTTGGTGCCATAATTTATGTTAATGCAGTAATCAAAGGTCCATACATGATTCTTTGATGTTAGAGTTATTTTAGACCTTCTTCTAAGAATGAAACACTTCTATTCTAAATAAATGAACCATCTCTTAGTTATCCAATCAATTATAAAGCTTAATCAAGAGCTTAAACAGCATTTGTATATTGATTTTATTAATCATTAAAGATTCCTTCTTCTTTTTTGATTCTAGTTGATAATCCATCAGCCAAAGATTAAACTTCTTTCAAATCATCTACCTTTCCATTCAAGGCAATTTATAATAAATCTCTGCTTTCAGTAAAATCTGTAACATCTATTTCTAATGATGCAATCTAATAAAGTAAGCTAATTGGTTTACTTCATTCTGGAATTGAGTAATTTGACCTGAAAAAAATTCCTTGTCTGTGAAATATTAGACTTCATCTTACTAATATGCTTGCTATTCATCTGCTAATCTTGATTTGATTGAATTTTATAAGTCATCTAATGCTGCATATAATTTAGAGAAATCAAATTGTTATGCCTTTGATTTTAGGCTAAGTAATTTCAAGAAAGCTTTTCCCAAATGTGTTTATTCTAATTCATTCATTATTGGATTAGATAAAGGACCTTGAATTTGACTTGCCAAAGTGAGAGAAATCAATAGTAAAGAAACTAATTTCCTCATACAATCCGTTTTTAATATTAATATAAAAAATTATCATTTATATAATATTAAATTGAATATCACTTTATTTCATAATTTGATATATATATATTAATGTTGTTTTTCATAGAGATTTCTTAATAAAACAATTTATTAGATCTAATATATATTTATATGCTTTGATAGCATTATTGATATAATCATTTTTAATATATAATTAATATAAATAAATCATATTTTAATAATAATACAAAGCTGAATAGTAATTACATAATTTAAATAATAATTGATTTTATATATGATGATTTAATTTTATTCTTTGATATATGATTGATATAATTGAAAGTAGATAATTCTATTAATTTTTGAGTTGAGTATTAATAAATTTATGTTGGTTGATTGTATTTTGAAAAGAAAAGCCTTTATTAATCTCTTATATTTAAAGAAATAATTAATAAAGATTTTGGTTAATAAATTTAATAAGTTTATTTTTGAATATGTAAGAATAACTTGATCGAGCCAAACTTTAATTAGAAACAGAAGTAAAATAATTAGCAGTAGAATTTGTTAGAAAATAATACTTAGAACTCTTTTTATATCTATATGTTTATTTTTTAATTTCCTTTTATTTAGAAAATATTTTATCAACAATATAGATTGTGATTTGCTTAATTTTTATTGATATATGTAATATTTATAACATTATTATAGGCAGATGTGCTTAAACTTGTTATTGTTTATAAAAAGAATTAAAGGTGTATTATTATTTGGAATCGTTTATATATGGTTTAATGAAAATTTGTTTTATTTTGATTGTTGTGCTTGAAATTGAGTTTTATTTGATGTTAATAATGTTTCCATTATTATTGTTGATCCTAAGATTGCTTATCTATTGCAATAAAAAAAAATACTTCGCATTTGTTGCATTTTAATAGTTCGTATAGCATAAAGAATGACATAATAGTTTAATGTACTATGGAAGATAGTAATATTAGTTGAAACTTTATCAGTTACTCTAAAATTAGATAATTTTGTTGCTTGGGATTGGATACAAGTCTTATGGTTATTTTTGATACTATTAATATTAAATGGAGTGATAACATTTGTCTCAGTACTATATTTTGCAATTAAAATAATACCAGATTTGATCAAGAAAAATTAAAAATAGAAGAGTAAGATATAATATTCATATTAAGATGCTTATTATATATAATTTGTTTTATATTAGACAACAATATTTTTGACAAATCTATTTTTATATCTTAATCTATTTGCTTTGAATATCATTCTGCCTATTTTATTTGTATTTTTAACATTATTTACATATTTCAAAAAAAAAGATTTGGAATAATATTATGCAAATTTCATATTTAATTTAGAAATGGGAAAAGACTTAGAAGAAAAACAATAACCATATGAATAACCTACAATCTTATAAAGAGTTTCAACTAATTATTATAAACCAATTATAACTAATGTTGGATAAAGATAATCAAGTCAACCTCCTATGTTGAGTAATGATCTATAATCTGTAAATTCTGAGGAATCTAATTTGTGTATTATTTGCTAAGATAGAGTTGGTGAAAAGATTTTCATGCCGTGTGGTCATGGCAAATTTTGTGCATAGTGTATAGGAAATGCAGAATCATGCTTTCTTTGTAGAATTGAAATAGCTTAAGTTTTAACAGTTTAATAAGAACATGTAAGTTTTGGAATTATTGCTAAATGATATATATATATATATAGATCATATTATGTATTAAAATTAAAACATTATATTTTAAATGGCTTGTATATCCAAAGAGTATTTAAAATTCCTAATTTTAATATAAATTACAATTCCAATTTGATTGAATTCTCTATAATAAATTTAAAATCATAATTAATTTAAAATCATAATTAATTTTTAAAATATAGTATTTAATAAAAAATTTTAAATAGTTTTAAGCTATTTCATGTAACCAACCTTATTAATTTAAACTAATTAAAAATACTTTTTGATATATTATTATAATATTATAACTATATTAGAGTATTATAATTAAGAGAATGCTGTAAAATATATATTGATTTGATTATGTCATTAAATATTAGAACTAATTAAATTAAATTTCTTGTTTGATAAACAAAGAGGTTGAGTATTATAAATTGAAAATTGAAGATGATAATTATTGTTATTATATGATAATAAGTTATAATAAAATAATGTATTTATTTATTATGATATATATATTAATCATGTCTTTGGCAGTATTTTCAGATATGCAGTTATTATAGCTTCTTTATTTAAATTGTATCTTCCAACTTGATAATTATCTTGCATATCTTTTCCTTTGTAAAATAATTTCATGGATTCAAATTAAATTTGATTTTCCTTCTTTAATTCAACATTTATTATTTCTTTCAAATCAATAACACTTTAATTCTGCTTACATTCTACTACAATATCCTTACCATTGAGATTGGCACTTCGAATTATTAATTTTAAAGATTCATTACTGTAATTTTAAATTAAACCTCTATCCTCAAATTTCTCATTTGAGTACTCTATTGGATCATTTATGCAAAATATTGGTACATCATATTTTTGTCCCAATTTATCATATACATGTTATAAGGAATCCTTTATTGGTTTTAATTCAGCCTCTTGTACTAATAATCGAGCAGTTTCTAATATACTTTTATCCCAATACCCTCTTCCTCATTTATTATCGACCTTAAAATCTACCAAATCTCTTGTTTTCCCTCAACTCTGGTTTCTTAAATCAATTATATAATTCATTACTTACCCCAAAAAACATTTCTTAACCTATCAATCTAGCCAATATCAATATGACTTTTATAAGCTTATGTTCTCTTTAAACCCTTACCACTAAATTGTTATTCTATTATATCAAAGTATATTTTATATTATTCATTCACATCCTAGATTACATTCCCATTTTATTACTATCTTCCAATTACTCTAGGTATAATTTATTATTGATGAACTCCTTGATGGTTACCCTCTCTATTTTCAGAATGAGAACAGCAACTACCCATTAAATTAATTTTATTTTATTATATTTAAAATATCATCATTATATAGTTTTTATCTATAATATTATATCCTTTCCTTAATTAAATTCTAAATATATTCTATTTTGAACTTTCTTTTATTCTATAATACATTATAAATAATTGTGAATCTTTAACAAATTATATACATATATATAAGTTGATATTATAATAATCATATTTATTAGATAAATTGATCTTAATTACAATAATTAAATTAATTATTGAATTTGATTAATTTTATATCAAAAAATTAGAGTTTTTATCTATTTCTTTATATAAATCAATTTCATAGTTATAATGAAAATGAATAAATATTTATCATAAATTATTTACTAATAAAATATATTTTTAATGAATAATTCAATCCATAATTGGTTATTGTAATTATATCTAAGCAAAATATGTATGATTGTTATTTTCTTATATTGATTAGAAAAGCTCATCAAAGTTATCATAAATTAATTTAAAACTGTAATCACTTACTTCTAGTTATACCTATAATTAATTAATATTATTTACAGGATTTGGTTATTTGACCTTCATGAATATTTAAGCCATATTTTTAGGAATTTCACTTTTAGTCCATTAATAATTATAAATATTAAATTTGGGAACATTTTCTTCACCATCAGCATTTCCTGCATCTTTTGGTTCTTCATCACCACCATCACCTTCTTATTTAGGAGGTGGTACTTCAGGTTTTTCTAAAACCCATTCAGGATCATTGATTTCTGAATTTAATGGTTATTCTGTAATTGCATATAAAACTTTAATTTATCCTAAAGATTTCTCTACCATCATTAATTCATCTGTAGCTCTTGGGAATATTTATTCTTATTATTATTTATCTCCTTATTAATCAGCTGATATGTAACCCCATAACAATACATCTCTATAATAATAATTAATATTAATTCTTACCTGCTTTATATAGGTAAATCATCTATGTATTACTTAACTAATTTCATAACAGTTTCAGGAGTAAAATTAGATGGATTTTTACAATTTTATTTTGTCCATCTCATTTCATAATCATTAGAAAGTTTTTCAAAGTTTTTAGCAATTAATTATTCAACATCTACAAATGACATTTTGTATTTTGCAGCAATGTTAATATAAATTAATTTCAATGCTTCATAAATATCAGAATCTAAATTAGCTAAAATTGATGCCAAATAAACTCTTTTTCCAAATATTTAATCAATTGATTTATAATTCTATTCCAAAGAATAATTTGTATCTTATTTAAATAATTTACAATCAGATTATTATTATACATAGACTTATACTTACTTTAATATTTCTTCATGTGCTTTTGCATTAGTAATCATCTTCTCTTTATCATCATCTGTCATTTCAGCTGCAACATCCATTTCACTCTTTATTTTATATCTAATCCATTAATTTGTTTAATCTATTCCAATATTTAATACCCAACTAGCCTATCCTAAATTTAAAAACTATAAAATCTATTCTGGTTTTTCACATCCTGGTGGAAATCTAATAAAATTAATATATTCTAATACCCATCAAATACATATTTCTCATTTGTTACATTACTAAACAAATCCTTATAATATTTAATAATCATAGGTAATGTTAATTCCTCTATTTATTCACCAGGAACTGTACTTAATTTCTCTTTCAATTAAGCTATTGCAGTTTCTCCCCATTCAATCAAATTAAAACCAAATTTTTATGAAATATACTTAGCAAATGTTGTCTTACCTGACATTACAGGACCAATAACAATACCATATTTTATTCTTTTTGTTAAATAAGATTAAAATGGTCCCAAATCTTCATTTTAAATAATCAAATTTTTGCCCTCTGCTGAATAATGTAATACTGGATTCATTTTAGCAGAAAATGATACAGTTTTTCCTTCCTTTAAAAAATTAATTAATCCTGTTATTGGAAATAATTTATCTTCAAATGTTCTAAATTCTTAATATTTTTCAGGGAAACTTGTAAGAATAAATTTATTTTATTATGGATCATTATATAAATATTTCCTTAATAATTCTATTTACATTTAAGGTGGTACAACCTAACCTGAATTAAGGAATGCTCCCATTTATTTTCCTTATGGAGTTCCTTTAGCTAATTCTTCTTCACATAGTGTTTCCAAATGTAAATGCTTGAATCCTAATTCTGTCTCTACTTTATTTAAATAAACTTCTGCCAATTCTTCATTATTATATGTTAGAGCTACTAAAACCTTTGGCTTTAATATACTCATAATAGATTGAATAATTAAATCTGAGGATTATTAAAAATTATTTGATAATCCTTTTTATACTGCATCGACAGTTACAAAGAATTGAAACTTCTTTAAGTAAGCTAACAGTTCATCACGATTTTAGAGGAAGTTACTAAATCTCTAAAAACGACATTTCTTTTGATCTTCTGTACTTAATATTCTGATATTTTATTCAACTTCATCTTTACTAGATTGGAAATATATGACATATCTTGGTTTTTGATAATGCTCAAAGAATACAACAGCTTAAGCTTTTTTATCTAGAAATCCATCAACAATATAGTTTTTTGGTTCAGCTTAAAACACTTACATTAATTTATTTAATTTTTCCACTTCTGATTATGCTTTTACTTTGACATAGAATTCATCTAAGTTGAAATAAACATATCCTGTTTATTTTGCAACTTATTAGGCCACATAAGATTTAGCAGTTGCTGGTGGTCCATAGAAAAATATGATATTAGCTTTTTACATTTTTAATTAAATTATTTATTTATTTCATTTTAAGTCTTAATCTCTAAACTTAAATAATATTCAAATACCTTTCCAATAAGTTCTCTTCATATCAATTATATCTCTCTATATATTCATTTTATTATATGAATTTTATTCATTACTAACACAATAAATGTATATATTTAATTTAACAATAAGTATTATATATATATAATTGATACATATTTAATATTTACTTTATCTTTATTTTTGAATAAATTTCAATTAAGATCTTTTGAATTTTAAATGAAAAACAAAAAGATTGAAGTAATTTAAAGTAATTAAACCTTAATTAAGGAAAGTCATTAAAATTATTAGTATTTTAATAACAAATTTAGACAGACCTTAAAATTCTCTTTAAAGTTTTAATCAATACTCCATTTTACTATGAAAACACTTTAAAGAAATGCTTATTACTTAAATTTAGACTTGAAAATTAAGTTTTTAAAGATATTACTACAATACTATATTTACAATTGTTTAAAATATAAATGCTGAATAATAAAAAGTCATTTTATAATTTTATCAATACAATAAATGAATTTAATTAAAAATAAGAATTCAACACAACAAAAACCAAGTTTATCATTTATCAAACAACTTTTCAATAAAAAAAAACTTGAAGTAGTGGCTACTAATTTATTTTATACAAGTAAGGAAGAGTATAGTGAAGAGATAAGAAAATAACTTGTCAGTCCTAGGGAGAGATTGATAACTAGAGAAAAATAGAGTAGTAGATAAAATACAATGAGATCACATTCATCATTATAAATTAATGATTTGATTGAGTGCAATCTAATTAAATAAAAAGCATAAATTAGACTAAATAGTCCGTATAAATTTAGTAGAGCCAAAGCTTTACAATTAATTAGAGATAGACAAAAATCTCCTTGTCTTATAGTAAAATAGCGAACTCTACCTGTTTATTCAATTACTGCAATATAAACATCAAGATTAAGGTATGAATGAGATTTAATTAATTTTGTTTCATAATAAAATACATTTGTTTAATTTTATGAATATAACTTACATTTTAAAATTTAAATTATTATGAAAAACAAAGGTCAATAATAATATACATTGGCAGTAAAGAATGGATCTTTAATGAATCCAGAACGATAAACAATTAATGGTTTGATTGATTTGATTAAATTGAAAAGTCAACCAAAAATAATTTACTATTTTGATTTCTTAGTATGTATAGATTAATCAGGAAATCCCTTTATTTTTTATCATGATAAAAATAGATATATAAATATACCTACAATTAGTCCAGCTTAATTGATATCATATATAGATAATAAAGGAGGTTAATTAGCAATAGCTTTGTAAAATAAAACTATTCAAATAGTTTCTTGTTAAAGTATATATCTAAATTAACAATTAAGATGGAAGAAATTTAAAAACACTTAAAGGTCATGAACATAACATATTAAGTTTGCATACAAATCATACATAAAATCTTTTACTATCAATGAGTTAAGATTAATGTATTTTACATTCATTAGATTCATTTGACAAAGTTCATTCATTGTTTTCTAAAGGTAGTATATTTGTAGGAGCAAGTTTTTTACCTTCTTCAACTGAATTAGCAACTGTTATGGCAGATAAATCATTATAAATTTGGAATTTATCATCATTTGAAATAATAAGTAGAATCTAATTACCTGAATAATTTAATATTAAATAATGTTAAATGATCCCATCAATTGATGGATAAAGATTGATAATTAATTGTTATTCTAATAAAATTTATATCTTAGATAATTAAAATAATTTAATATCTTAAGATATAAATTAAGGATATGGTAATGGTGTATTAGTAGTTAAGCCAATTAAAAAATAATAAATATTAATGCTTACTAAAAATTTCATGATTATTTAAATAGATAGTAATGGTAATCTGATAAAATGTATTGAAATATTATAAGGAAAAACACCTACTCACTTTGATGTTTATCAAAATAAGATTGCTATTATTTTAAATACTGGAGAAATTGCTTTATATGATCTTAATAAATTAAATAAATAGAATTAGAATCTTAATTCAACTATTGGTGTCAATGTTAGTACTATGATTAAAGAAAATTATGCAGATACTCTTAATTTTAATAATACAACTACAAATATTGATATTAAGAAAGTTGGAAATTATACTAATACTTTGTAAGGATCCTTTTCTTAATCTATTGTAAGTAAAAAGAACAACAGTAAATCTAATAGTATGAGTTAACCAATTAATTCTCATACTTTAGGAAAAATTTATAAGAATACTGAAGATCCATTGAAAGAACTCTTAAATTATTAAAAATTACAATAATTCTTAAAGTAATATCATGTTTTTCCAGATGATAAAAGAAGTTTAATATGGAGATCTTTACTTAATTTACCAATGAATTAAGAAGCTTATAATAATTTAATTAATTAAGGAATTCATCCAGCCTATTAAAAATTAGCTGATCAATATCCATTATAAAGTGAATCAATGTTTTCAAGATTACAAAGAACTTTATCTTGTTTAGCATACTATTGTCCTTTATTTGCTGAGATTGATTATTTACCATAATTAGTATTTCCATTTGTTAAATTGTTTAAAAGAGGAGAAGAATTATTAATATTTGAAGTGACACTCTCTCTATTGATATAACATTGTCAAAGATATTTTGAGAATTTCCCTAATGCTCCAGTCTCTTTATTATAATTCCATGATCAAGTATTTAACTAAATAGATCCTCAATTATATTAACATATGAAATAATATTTAGGATATTCACCAATTAAATATGCTTGGCCTTCTATAAGGTAATTATATACTAATCTATTGACTAAGAATTAATGGATGTAATTAATAGATCATTTGATATTGTATAATGATTTACCATAAATGATTGTATTGTTCATGGTTGAATATTTTATTTATTTTAAAAGTACTATTATGAAAATGAATGATTAAGATTAATTAGATCTCTTTTTTGGTAGAAGTAATACAGTTGAAATTGATAAACTAATTGAGAGTACAATAAATCTTAGTAAATCATTAGATATGGATTAATATTAGATTAATTTTCAATTTCTATTACCTTTACAAAAAGATTAATATTAACTTTTTAGTATTTATCCAAAAGGGAGTGTATAATATTAAGCAAGAGTAAGAGAATAATTATAAGAAGATGAATAAAGATTGATATAAAAACAATAACAAATCTAAAGACTTTAATAAATGGCTTAATAGATGGAGTAATTGGATTAATTGTTTTAGGAAAAATAACTTTTAACTATGTAAGCTGAAAAAGATAGATAAGAAATGTTTGATTATTAGGTTGAAATGAGAGCCCAAAAATAATTTTAATAAGATCAATAAGTTAGATAATAAAGAATTAAGTAATTAGAAAATTTAGAGAAGAATATGAATTAAGCAGTTTAAAAATAATTAGATTTGTAATAATAAGAATAGGAATATTTAAATAAATAATTCAGAAAAACTTAATTGGCTGACAATTTTAGGATTGTATCCTTATAAGAAGAGGAAGCTTTACAAAATTTAGAGTATCAAATATTTAGTAAATTTCAACAATAAATGGAATAAAGATCTAAGTAAGAGAATTAGAGAAAGATTTAATCATAATTAGAATTTAGATAAAAAGAAAAAGAATTATTAGATTAAATTAAATAAGAATAATGGAAAATGGATTCTTAATAATAATAAATAAAAGTTGAATAATTGAAATAATTAAGAATGTAATAAATACAAGAATTAGAAAATGAAGCTTAATTAGAGGAAGTTGAATATTAAGAGAGAATATAATAATTTCAATAAGATTTAAAAATGATTTAATTAGAAAGAGAAAAAAAGTTAAGAGATTAATTATTTTAAGAATAAATAAATAAAGAAGAGTTATAATTGAGAGATAAAAAATAAGTTGAAGATAAAAAAAGATAAAGTAGTATTTAGAGAAGATAATAATTTGAATAAGAGATGGAGAGAATAGCTAAATAACACTAAGACAAATTAAGAATTTAAGAATAGTAATTAATGGAATAATATAAAAAATCATAGAGTTTTTCAAATTAATAATATTAACCAAACTACTATTAAAATAGTAATTATTAAAACAATTTCGAATAAAGTTCAGGTGATATTAGAGAACCAATGACTAGTTAAAAATTATCAAGTGCATTGTATGATTTTCAATCTAGTCAGAAATAGTAATAATTTTCACCTTCAATGTTGGTTGAAGATGAAAGAGAAAAGATAAACTAACTAAGAAATTAATTAAGAGATGAAATGTAGAATATAAGAGAAAGAGAACATGATGAACAATTATAATCTATGTTAAGAGAAAGGGAATAGGAAATATTTAAAAGAACTTAGTAAATACGAGATTAAATCAATTAAGAAGTTGAAAATAAAAATAATTCAAGTATAAATTATTATTATCTATATTAGCATATAATACAGGATAATTCTAGAAATAATAATATTATAGTCCAGGATCATCATCACAATTTTCACTTTATAAACCATAATAAGAGGTCGATATAGAACCAAGGGACTTATCAGAATCTTAGTTAACATATAGTAGTGGATTCACTTCTCCAGGTTAACGTTATTGATAATAAAATATAAATAATTTTCAAACTAAAACTTTTGGAGCCAAATGCTGTATAATTTAAAGTAAAGTCTAGTTTAAAAATATATTTATATATAAAAAATGGATCAAGATCATGATTATTCTTTTGAACATTTATAAGAATTAGCAAAATAAAAAAATATATCTTATGTATTAAAAAGAGATGGAGGAAAATAAAATATTGATATTTAAAAAATAGCAGAGAGATTATAAAATTTAGCTTCAAATCTTTAGCATATCAATATAAACTTAATAATGTGGAAGGTTATTCAGGGAATGTATGAAGGTATTTAAAATTATAAGATTTTATTTTAGGAATAACAACTGTATAATTAGATAATTTGGCGGCAGAAACATGTGCTTATATGAATTTAGTACATCCACAATATTCTTTATTAGCTGCAAGAATAGCAGTCAACAACCTTCATAAAGAAACAAGTGAATCCTTTAGTGAAGTGGCAACAAAATTACATTCTTTTACAGTAAATTTTTGTTCTAATTTCTAGGATAAATATGGTAGACCAGCCCCTTTGATTGCAGATGATGTTTATAAAATAATAATTGAAAATAAAGATATCATTCAAAATGAGATAAATTATGATAGAGATTATCAATATGACTTTTTTGGTTTCAAGACTTTAGAAAGAAGCTATTTACTTAAGGAAGGTAAAAAGCCTATTGAAAGACCATAATAATTATTAATGAGAGTCAGTATTGGTATTCATAAAGAGGATTTACAATCAGCATTTTAAACCTATCATTTGATGTCTTAAAAGTACTTTACTCATGCAACACCAACATTATTTAATAGTGGTACACCTTATCCTTAAATGTCATCATGTTTTCTATTAGATATGGTTGATGATTCAATCGAAGGTATATATGAAACTCTCAAGAGATGTGCTTTAATAAGTAAATCAGCTGGAGGAATAGGATTAAGTGTATCTAAGATTAGATCATAAGATAGTTATATAAGAGGAACTAATGGTATAAGCAATGGTTTAGTGCCTATGTTGAAGGTGTTTAATGATACAGCAAGATATGTAGATTAAGGAGGTGGCAAAAGAAAAGGATCTTTTGCTATTTATTTAGAACCATGGCATAGTGATATTATAAGTTTCTTATAATTGAGAAAGAATCATGGAATTGAAGAATAAAGAGCAAGAGATTTATTTTTAGGTTTATGGATACCAGATTTATTTATGTAAAGAGTTAAAGATGATTCAGATTGGACTTTAATGTGTCCAAATGAATGTCCAGGTCTTTAAGATTGTTATGGTTAAGAATTCAATAAATTATATACAGAATATGAATCTAAAAATATGGGTAGAATGACAATGAAGGCTAGATAATTATGGTAAGAAATAATTGATGCTCAAATATCAACTGGATTACCATATATGTTGTATAAAGATGCTTGTAATTAGAAAAGTAATTAAAAAAATCTAGGAACTATCAAAAGTAGTAATCTATGCACTGAAATTATATAATTTACATCACCAGATGAAATTGCTGTTTGTAATCTTGCTAGTATTAATTTATAAAAGTTAATTAAAGAAGATAAAACTTTTGATTTTGATAAATTGTTGGAGATTACAAAAATAATTACAACAAATCTTAATATTGTCATTGATTTGAACTTTTATCCTGTTAAATAAGCAGAATATAGTAATAAAAGACATAGACCTATTGGTATTGGTGTCTAAGGATTTGCAGATGCATTACAAAGAATGAAAATACCATTTGATTCAGAAGATGCTTAAGAATTAAATGCCAAGATTTTTGAAACTATTTATTATGGAGCATGTTAAAGATCTTTGGAATTAGCATAGAAATTAGGACCTTATGAAACTTTTACAGGTAGTCCAGCTTCATAAGGAATTTTATAATTTGATATGTGGGGTGTAAGTCCAAAATTATATGATTGGAATACTCTCAAATAGAATATTGTAAAATATGGAATGAGAAATTCTTTATTAATTGCACCTATGCCAACAGCATCAACAAGTTAAATTTTATAAAATAATGAATCATTTGAACCATATACTACTAACATATATACAAGAAGAGTTTTGGCTGGAGAATTTGTATGCATCAATCCACATTTAGTTGATGATTTAATAGAATTAAATTTATGGACACCTTAAATTAAGAATAAATTAATTATGAACAATGGTTCTGTCTAGAATATAGAAGAAATTCCTAATAATATAAAATCATTATATAAGACAGTTTGGGAAATTTCATAAAAAGCTATATTAAATTTAGCAACTTCTAGAGCACCATTTATTGATTAGAGTCAATCCTTAAATATCCATATGGCTGAACCAACAATGTCTAAAGTAACATCTATGCATTTCTATGCTTGGGAAAAGGGATTGAAAACAGGTATCAATTATATATAATTAATTTAGGAATGTATTATTTGAGAACAAGACCTGCAGCAGATCCCATTAAATTTACAGTAGATGTTGAAGCATTATTAAAAGAAGGTGGACAAATAAAAATTTAATCATCTAAATAAGAATTAATTGATGAAAGTGCATCCAAAAAGATTGTTACTAATGAAGGTAAAACAGTTAAGAAGGGTAAACCTCAAATTATTGTTACTGAAGATGGTGATGAAGTTGAGGTTTGCTTAAATTGTGGTTCTTGAATAAATATTTATATTAATAATTTATAATATTACAGCTTTGTAAATTAATAAGATAAAAAACATAAATAAGATAGATAATGTAATATACTTATGTAATTATATTCATTAAGCTGGTTATTCTGTTTCTTCATTTCTTCTTGGAGCTCCTCTATTTCCTCTACCAAATGATCTTCCTCCTTTTCCACCTCTTTATCTTGTCTCTGGAGCATCATCTTCAAATTTCTTATCAGCCTTTTTGAATGTTGCAGGAATAACATCTTCTACAATACCTAAGAAAATGTAGAATTCAAATAAATACCCAATTTGTCTCTTACATATTTCACACCTTCTGCTTTAAGATAATAATAGTAATATTGCCATGAAAATACTAAATCCACTAATTTTTTATCTCTTAAACTTCTTAAAAGCATCCAAACTTCAAGATTCTTAACTCCTGTTTCAGTATGTTATGGGAGTGCCATGTCCTATTATTTATTAATTCATCATTTACCTTCTTAATTACTATAACACCTTCCATTAACAAGTATTCATAAACTTTTCTTCTATCTTATCTCTTAACTTGAACCATGCAAAAATAATGGATTTATTTTTTATTTAAAAAATATTTAAACTAATTATTATAGAAAATGGAAGAAAAAACAATGGAGGTAACTAAGTTGGTAAATAATATAATTTAATAATAGAAAATTGAATAAAATATATAAAACCACTAAAGGGAAACAAGATGTAAGACATTTGAAAATTTTAGAGATTTACGAGCCAAATAAGACCATGATGATTTAATAAAATAATTTGAAGAGTAATTCAATATTATTGGTAATATCAAATTAAATTTTAGATGAAAAATATATAAAATATTAAATAGATTAAAAAGCTGAAGAATAGGAATATTATTCTCAGGTTTATGAAAAATCAATGTTAGCTAATTTAGATAATATAAACTTTGAGATGCCTTCATTCTTAGAGGAAGAATTAATTTAATGATTAATATATTACATAAATTGATTTTATTACAAGTGAACTTAAATTTCTATTATATAAAAATCGTACAAGATATGATTTAATTAATAGATATTCATATGATTAAATATATAATCTATTTAGACTTATGATTAAGTAGTATCTATTAATTATGATATCTTATGAAATAATTAAGGAATACTAATAAAATGAGTTAAAATTATTATAAAGGTAATGAAAAGTATAGAATTTATAATATTTTAATGGGTTTTTTTATTAATTAATTTAAGATGAATAAAAAATAAGGATTATAAAAATTATGATAGACTTGACTTAATATAAGGAGTAGGGTTAGGATCAATAGATATAGAAAAAAATAAAATAAAATTAAATTAAATTTTTAATTCTCGTAAAAATTAAAGAGATGAATAATATATTCCGATTCAAGTCATTTATGCGAACTCCTTTGTTTTGGTTTAGTCAACCAATGCACAAATTAATTAGAAACATTGGTGTTTCAGCTCATATAGATTCTGGGAAAACAACATTTTCAGAGAGAGTACTCTATTATGGTGGAAGAATTCATGAAATTCATGAAGTAAAAGGAGCAGATTCAGCTGGTGCAACAATGGATTTTATGGAACTTGAGAAAGAAAAGGGAATTACAATTTAAAGTGCTGCTACTCATTTGAAATGGAAAGGACATTAAGTTAATTTAATTGATACACCAGGACATGTGGATTTTACTATAGAAGTAGAAAGAGCATTAAGAGTACTTGATGGTGGAGTATTATTGATTTGTGGAGTGGCTGGAGTTCAACCATAAACATTGACAGTTCACAAATAAATGTCTCGATATAAGGTGCCTAGAATCATATTCATAAATAAATTGGATAGAATGGGAGCAAATCCATGGAGTGCTATATAGAGTATAAGAAAGAGATTGTCATTAACAGTAGCAGCAGTACAAATACCAATAGGATAAGATTAAACTTTTAATGGATTAGTAGATTTGATTAAGATGAAGGCATATTATTTTGAAGGTTTGAAGGGAGAAGATGTAAAGGAAACAGAAATTCCAGAGAGATATATGGAGGAAGCAAAAGAAAAGAGATAAGAATTGATTGAAACTTTAGGAAGTATTGATCCAGAGATAGAAGATTTATATTTGAATGAATAACCAATTAGTGAAGAGAAATTAAAGTCATCAATTAGAAAGAATTGTTAAGAACATAAATTTTATCCAGTATTTATGGGTAGTGCCTATAAAAATAAGGGAGTTTAATTGGCTTTAGATGGTGTAGTAGATTATTTACCTGCTCCAGAAGAGAAATAAAACTTTGGATTTTAAATATCTTAAGATTAGAAAGAAGAGAAAAAGATTGAATTTAAAACAGATACTAAATTACCATTTGTTGGTTATGCATTTAAATTAGAAGAAAATAAATTTGGATAATTAACATATGTTAGAGTATATTAAGGTAAATTAAAGAAAGGAGATTATGTTTATAATATGAAAACAAAGAAGAGAGTAAAAGTTGCTCGTATGGCTAAAATGCATGCAAATTAAATGGAAGAAATTAATGATGTTGAAGCTGGAGATATCTTTGCAGTTTTTGGAGTAGATTGTTCAAGTGGTGATACTCTTGTATATGGAGATATGAATTATTAAGTTTTATGTTCTAGTATGTTTGTTCCATAACCAGTCATGTCATTATCAATTAAACCTACTAAAAAGGAATATTCTGCAAGATTTTAAAAAGCTTTATCTAAATTTTAAAGAGAGGATCCTACTTTTAATGTTGATATGGATAAAGAAAGTGAAGAGATCATTATTTCTGGTATGGGTGAATTACATTTGTAAATATATGCAGAACGTATGAGAAGAGAATTTGAAATTGATGTTCAATTAGGTTAACCAACTGTTAATTATAGAGAAACTATCACATAAAAATAACAATTTGATTATTTACATAAAAAGTAATCAGGAGGTGCTGGTTAATATGCTAAAGTTATTGGATATATGGAACCACTATAATTAGAAGAAGGTTAATTCTCTAATCAATTTGAAAATCATGTTATTGGTACTAGTATACCTAATGAATATATTACTGCTGTTGAAAAAGGATTCTATGAATCAGTAGACAAAGGTCCTTTGACTGGATATCCAGTTGTAAATGTTAGATTTGTTTTAGAAGGTGGTGAAACTCACGTTGTGGATTCATCATCTAATGCTTTCATGACAGCTACCAAATATGCATTTGCTTAAACTTTTAGATAAGCTGGACCTGAAATTTTAGAACCTGTTATGGCAGTTGAAATCATGGTTCCTGCTCCTTCTTATTAATAGGCAATGGTTGGTATTGCTAAGAGAAGAGGATCTGTTACAAACACTGAATCTAGAGGGGATATGTTTGTATTGAATGCAGATGTGCCCTTGTCTCAAATGTTTGGTTATGCAACTGAATTGAGAGGTTTTACATCAGGACAAGGAGAATTTTCACTAGAATACAAAAGACATGATCCAGTTCCACCCAATGAAATTGAAACTATCATTGCTAAATTCAAAAAATAAAAGAGAGGATAATGATTTTGAGTTGTTTTTTTTTTAAATATAAAATTTATCAAAATATACTTTTCTAGGATGAATTAAGGATTTATTAGGGATTTATATTATCCTCTTATTTAAACCTGTAAATTCTCTAGAAAAAATTAAGAAACTCTTTGATATTCTTATATTTTAATTTTCATACAATTAGTAATAATAATAATTAAAAGCATAATTACATAACCAAGAGAATATAAATGTAAAACATTGTAAAAAAGTAAAAAAGTAGGACTAGAAAAGGTCAAAAATAAAGAAATTTCTAAAAGAAAACAAATTGTGATAGTGTTAATTTCAAATCCAATTAGGCGGCATGTGAATATGAGTATTTAATATTTATCTAACATAGATAAACTGCAACTAAGAAAGTTAAGAATGAAAAATCTATTTCTCCCATAATTACAGAAGAAACTCCAAATTCATAACAAAGAATTGAATAATAATAAAAGTTAGAGGATTTGATTAGTGATGAGTTTGGTAAAGAATTATCTTCATTTACTTTTAATAATTCATTAGAAAATAATTAAGAAGAAGAGTAAGAAACATTGAATGAGTTTATGAGAGAATAAGTAAAATTTGAGGAAATTTATAGTTATTAAAAAAATTACTTAAAAAATTAGAATGAAATTTAAAGTCATATGGTGGCAATATTATTTGATTGGTTAGTTGAAGTAGCTCATTCATTTCATTTTAAAAGAGAAACATTTTATTTATCAAGAAATTATGTTGAAAGATTTCTACTTAGATAGCCAAATGTTTTAATAGCTAAATTTTAACTTCTTGGAGTAGCAGCTATTTTTATAGCTCATAAATGTGAAGAAATTTATCCAAAAACATTAAAAGATTTTCATAGACTCATTTAAGATTAATATACTATATAAGATATAGAGGAAATGGAAGTTGCAATATTAAAATGTTTAGATTTTAGAATGAATCCAAATACTCCTATATTTTGGTTAAATTATTATACTAAATTATGGGATGAATTTATTATTGATAAAGAATTAAATGTTTAATTAAAAGAAAGAACTAATGAATCTTATTATAGATATAGAGAACTTGTTTAATTGTTTGATATTTGTTTAATAGATTATAGATTTAAAAAAGATGAAAAGATTACTGCATTGAGTTTAATTTATTTAGTAATTGCAAAATCATTGTTGATATTTGAAGATTATAAAAAGATTGCTAATTAATAATAAGAAATTAAATGTTTTATTGATTCAGATCATGAATATAATAAAATATTCAAATAATTTATAGAATAATCTGATTTTTATTTATATTTTGATAAAAAGATAGAAGTAAATAATTTTATAAGAATTTAGTTTAAAGATTTGAAAGATGTGATTTGTGAGACTACCAAATATTTTATACTTCGATTTGATAATACTTTACCAAGAGTATTATTAAATAATCAAGAATTTATAGATGAAGTATTTTGTAATATTAAAATTAGTTATAACATGAAGAGTTACTTTCATTCCAGACTTACAATAGAAATACTATAGAAACTATAAATTTCTTGCTCAAATAATAATAATAATGATCTTCAATTTCTTTATTTCAATATTATAATTATATATTTTACCATTTGAGATGCAAAATCTTCTTTAAAAAATAAGCAAAGATTAAGAATTAAAATAAAAAAAAATACCTGTTGGTGAATTATAGAACATTTTGCATTAATATAATATTACTAATATTGAATTAGATGATGAATAGGAATTTACTTATTAAGAATTATACAATTATCTGAATTTAATTTAATATAAGGACTCCTTATAACATATTTCAAAGGATTAAATATTGACAAGAACACAAAATGAATGGAATATTTATACAATCTAAAGAGATGAAAATGAAAAGGATTTTCATGATTTAGTATTAGAAAGATTAGCAAAAGGATTTTAATTTGATGTAAATGATTGTTATTTTGTTAATCCTGATATCTTTCAATATATTCAATTATGTTTAGATGAAATAAAGTAATAGTAATAACAATAATAAATTAATAATACTTAAATTTAGAAGCCAAGACCAGGAGGGATTAGATCTTAATAAGACTTATAAATATAAAGTTAAAATTAAACTATGAAACCAAAAGATAATTCAATTCTTGAAGGTATATACATTGAACCTGAAAATGAAGCAAAATAAAATGAGTATTTTTTCTATAAATACTTTATTAATGAATAGATAAGTAAATTAATTACTAGATGTGGTTGGAAAAGTGGAATTGAACATACAAATTTTAATGTTGAAAATATATGTAAATAATGTATATCAAGAGCTGAATATACAAGAGCAGCAGCTATAGCTTGTGTTCATTTCCAATTCTCTAAAGCAATTGATATTTTGAGAGAATTATTACCAAATAAAGATAAAGAAACTTATTAAATTTTAATGGCTTTATAAGGTATTGATGAAATGAAGAATTTATATACAATTATTAGTTAAAAAGAAGTATTAAAAAAAATAATTGAAATTTGTTAAGTGTTTTTAGAAAATAAAAAATTTAATGATCCTTATTATGAATTAATTGCTGAATTTCTAAAAAAAGATAAATTTCTTGAATATTTAAATTATGGTGCTCATAAAATAAGTATTTTTGATAGAATAGGATTATGGGGAAGGTTTTGTTAAGGTAGGAAACCCTAAATCTAGAATCTGTTAGATAATATCATATTAAATGGGAAATCTGAAATATCAATTTAATATTTATAAAAATATCTTGATGATAAGGGTGATTTACAATTATGTGGAATTATTTCTATTTATTTATATATTTTAGATTATCCATAAAAAGATAAATTAATTAAGAATTTTAATTCTTATATTGATTATTTATTGAAATAAGATATACCAATTAATTCACTATTATGTAGAATTAAGTAAACTGAATTAGAGTACAATAAACCATTTCTTAGTGAAGCATTTAAATAATATCTGTCTCCTTAAATATCTATGTGTTGCAATTTTTGTTCAATTCCAGTTGGATAACCTTATTTAGAAATTTAAAGAAGGGGTAATCCAAGAAGAGGGTAATAATTATGAAATATTTAATCAATTACTTAGAAATCTAGCCAGAGATGATAATCCAAGAACAAATCTTTGTGCTTCTTGTAGTCATCCATTGTCAAATTGTGTAGTTTGTGCATAGTATTTTACAATACCAAATAATTAAGACATTGATAGAAAAAGAGGATCTAATTAATAAAAAATTTTGGATCAATTAAAAATAGAATAAGCTATAGTATGGTGTTTAAGTTGCAAACATGGAGGACATTAATCTCATATTGAAGAATGGTTTGAATTATATCAAAAATGTCCAGTTTATGATTGCGATTGCGAATGCAGCATTATTTGATAAAAAAAGGATATTTTTATTATTAATATTATTGTTTATATAAAATTGATGTAGCAGTCCAATCCAATCCTCTAGATAATCTCAAACATTCTAGATGAAATAATCAAAGAAACTGATGTTCTTGAATTAGAATCCAATTCTATCTTTCATGCTATAACAGCACCTGCTATCTCAATTTACAATTATTTACAAAGAATAAATAAATATACACATTGCAGTGAATAATGCTTTGTTATAGCTCTTATATATTTAGATAGACTTTAAGAAAAACATGCAAATCTAGTATTAAATTCTCATTGTATACATAGGTATATTTATTATTTATATATATATCTTTTATAGATTTTTGCTGTTAGCAATTGTAACTGCAATTAAATTTTAAGATGATGATTATTATAAAAATGAATACTATGCAAAAATTGGTGGAATAAATCTTAAGGAAATAAATAAATTGGAATAAGAATTCTTGGAATATATGAATTATGATTTATTTATTGATGAACAATAATATTAAATCTATGAAAATAGATTATTAGAATATGGTGAAATAGAAATGCCTTGATGTGTAATTTATAATTATATGTTTTGTTCTTTTATTTAAAACTATCTAAAAATTTTAATTCATTTCTTAATTCATTAATAATTCTATTTTGAATTTACTATTTTGATTAGTTAAAATTTATTTATTTTTGTAAAATGTAAATTCGTTGATCAATTCTTTAAAATACAATTTATTTTTAATAAATAATGAGATTAAAAATCAAAAACTAACACATTCGCATATACTGATCTTTTAATCTGATCTTCTTTCAAATTTTTGATTAATGTTTATATAATTATTACAATCTTGAATAATTGATATTTCATCTAATTCTTTTATTGTATCCAATCTATTATCATCTAAATTTCTATCAATTTATTAAACATATCTCAAAACATTATTAAATTCAGAAAATTAAATCATTCCATCTCCATTATCATCAAAAAAATCAATTATTTCTTTTATCTAAATTTAATTAATACACAATAAATACATTTTAATTTGTTAATGAATTTGTATTTGCAAACATCTTAATCATTTTTTAAAATTGATGTCTTTCTAATGTATCTTATTTTGTAGTAGCAAACTATTCAAATAACTCTCTTATATTATATTATGTTAATGCTGCATCTAATTTTGATAATATTTTAATATTGGAAGTAGACAAATGTCTTACAATTTTTACTCTTTTAGGATGATAATTAAATATATAAGTCTTAAATTCTTTATAATTTACTTTTCCATTAATTTGACATTCCTAAAATAAAAATTAAATATCATTATCGCTTAAACCATCACCTTCATTTATTTTCTTAATTAACTTACTGAATTCTTCAGAGTTTAATTCACATTAATTATTTTTTATATTTAAATTAATTAAAAATTTATCCATCTATTCTTCTTATCCAATCTTTTATCTAAGGCTTTGAGTTAATATAAATATCTTTTTTAAATTACTATTCTATTAAATATTCACTTTTCCAAAATAATTACATACATAAGGATGTCTAAATAAATCATCCCAATTTAATCTTTTTTCTTCATTAACTTATAAACAATTAATAATTAAATCTTAACAAATTGGTGATACCTATGGATTTTAAGGAAATGATATTGGAATATTAATTATTTGTTATACTAAATCATTCTCTGATTTTCCTACCCAAGGCACTAAATTAACTAATATATATATACAAGTATTGAATATAATTTAATATAAAATTATTCCAAAACTCCATATGTCACTTTTTGTTGTGTATTATTCCTCTTTAAGTAATTAAGGGCTCATATATGCAGGTGTTCCCAAATTACTCTTTAATATTTATGCATTGTAATTAAATATTGTCTTTGCATAACCAAAATCAGCTAATTTAAAGATCTTTCTTTTTCCTTCTTAATGAACTAAAATATTTGCTGGTTTCAGATCTCTATGTGCTATTCCTTATCTAATTAATGTTGTAAAAGCATTTAAAATATCCTATAAAAAAGTTATATGATCTTCTAATTTGATGGTATTCTTCTATTTAAGTAGAGAGTCTAAATCTCCAATATTGCAATATTCTAATATTATATAATAATGATCTTTTGTTTAAAGAACATCAAGAATCTCAATTATATTTGGATTTTTTATTCTTTTAAGCATGTTAATCTCATTCAATAAATGTTCCTCATTATCTAAAATAATTTAAATAAGATAGAACCTGCACTTTGAAGATCTGCTTTAAAAATTTGTTTGATAGCAACATTTTATTTTGATTTGGTATCGACTCCTTAGTAAACTGTAGCATAAGACCCTTTGCCAATTTTCCCCTTTTTATAATTATAACGGTAATGTTCAATTTGCTTTTCATTTTTATTCATTTATAATCTAAGAATAATATGTGAATAATTATAAAATTATTTGCATATTATCAATTAATTTGAATATTCTGTTTAAGTTAAGATCTAGTATTTATTTGATTTAATGAATAACAATTATAAACATATAATTAATAATAGATATTTTAATCTTTATATATTTCTCATTCATCTAAAAGAAAAGATTGATTACCACTTAAAAAGTAAAATAATAACTTTTATTAAAAAAACATTCCAATAATAAAATATTTCATTACCAATCTTATATTATATTAATATAACAAAGTTTCAATACATAAGTTAAATAATAAAATTAAGAAGAGATTACTAAAGATATTTAGTTTAATCATGTAACTTTACTCCCTATATAAGGTTTTTAATTAAAAATAAATTATTAATTTTTCGCAATTTTACATAAATATTATTAATATCTAGAAAATAATATCTATTATAATAAACTATTGCTTTAAATAATAATTAATGTATTTTTTTTAATATGAATTTAATTGTTATTTATAGGTAAAAATTCAATTTTGTAATACTGTCAATTTTGCTTTAATAGAACTAATTAAAAGATTATCTGCTTATGGGCTATCATTACCAGTGACACGTGCTAATTATTCTTATTTTTTTGACAACTCTTCTAACCTAAAATAATAAATATATTTTACTTTTTTGCTTCTTCTATTATTAATTAATTCTTATCTTTAATTGATAAATTATTATTTAGAGCTACTTTCTACCAATAATTTGTATTTTATTGTTATGTATTGGTTTCAATAACAAAACTTTTATGTTTAAACTTTGGTAATTGAGTATCTTAACTGGCTAAATCATATGATGTATTCTAATCTTTATTTTTAATAAAATTAATTAATGATTAAGCATCTTCATCAGTGTCTTGAATTTAATATGAAATCTTTTTTTATCTAACTTTATTTGCTAAAACTTGATATTTTTAGAAATCAGATTTATGATTTAATTTACTTTATATTTCTAATAATTCATTTTATTTATCTAAACTCAATTTAGGTTTGAATCTTTTTTTAGTTTCTTCTGAAAAATTCTTCTTTTTATTTTATAATTCCATTTAATGATTTTTTCTTTCTTATTCTAATAATTTTAATTTATTTTATTCTTGCTCTATTTTTAAATAGTAAGTAGATTTTTCTGGACTTATAGATTTTGTTTAGTTATTAAATTATTATTCAATAGATTTCTTTCTTGGTTAAATAATTAAATCACAAAATTTTTTTCTATGCTCTTCAAAATCTATTTTATTTAAAGGTTTCCTTTCTTATTTGATTTATTCTAACTTTTGTTGTATTATTTCTTATTATAGCTTTATCTATGCATTTTCTTATTCTTATAATATTTAAAATAATGGTTTCTAGTGTTAAATTTATTAGGTTTTTTTCCAAGATTCTAAGAAATCCTATTTCCTCTTCTCTTAAACCTCTTAAATTTGTCTTATTTTTAACTATGCTCTCTGACCTCGTTCCTTTCTCAATGAATCTATTTCTTCTTTTGTAAATGTTTTAACTTCAATTTAACCAAAGCAATCAATCTTTCTTACTATTTTTGATATAGTACCTAGTTGGAATAGATATTTAGGCAGTTTAGGACCTAAATGAAATATCTAAATGTTATTGGTTTTGATTTATGAATAACTAACGAGAATCTAATTCTTCAAAAATTTTCTATGATTTAGTAGAAACTAATTATTGAGCATATTTGATGCATCTAGTAGCTGAAAAATTTCCAAGTAAATTATCTAAGTAAGAATCAACATTTTTTATTTGATCCATTGTGATTATAATAATTTAAATAAATAAAACAATCAATAATCATATAAAATAATCATTTTATCTTTTAACGATATTATTTTCTGTTTGAAAATTAGATAATTTAAGATACTTTAACAGAGCTTATTAAATTATATATGGACAATTTATGGTTGTTTGAAAATAAAATGATTGAATATCTTTTTAAAATCTCAAAGTTTTTAAATATTTCTGTAATAATATACTATTCTCTATGGTTTTCTCAAATTTAATCATTTATATTACTAAAAAATACATCAAAATATTTATAAATGTTAATAAGTTTACAATGTTGAGATGAATATTTATGTGAGATTTTTCTAATATAAGAGGAATGGAGATTAACTTTTTGTAAAAATTAATAAAATTAATTTATTATTAAGCATAATCAAAAAAATCTAATAATGCATGATAGATATACTATTTAATAAATTATTTTAATTATTCAATGATTTCATAAAATAATCAAAAATATGAACTTATTTCCATTCTTATAATGATATTTATTCGATTATGTTTATATTGAGATATATTATATCTATAAAATAATATGTAATCATATGTAAATATTGATTTAATTAGTTTTCATGAGATGAATGCATTTTCGATTATTATACTTTTAATTAATATTTAAAATTATGTATTAATCAAATCAGCCAGGCTATTCGATTAATATTTAAGTTTATTGTAAATAATTAAATGGACTACGTTATGGATAAAGTTATTAGTTAATTGTATTTACTAAGGATCCTGATGGAGTATTTTAAGAATTCAAAGTAATTGATGTACTATGAATATTAAAGAATAGAATTATTCTAATGATCATCATGTCATGTTTAAATTTTATGGTCTTAAATATTTATTTGAAATGGTTTAGCCTTTAAAATTCGATCTCTATTAAGGCTAATAATTTATAGGTTTATTTTGTTGTAATATTTTAGGATAATGTTAAGCTAACTTAGGTGAAATAATAGGAGATAAATAAAGGATCTTTTATCTATCTGATTTGATGAATTAAAGAAATGGAATGATATCATTTAAAACAGAAAGGAGCCAAGAAAATATCTAGAAAATCAAGTTTGATGTATATTCCATTTATTATTATTAGATTTACTTATAACTAAATAATTCTCTGTTTTAGTCTTTGCTAAGTCTTTTTAAAGAGTAATAGTCCTTATCTTTGATTTTATATAAAAAGGTGCCAAATAAATAAGTTATACTATAAACTGAACCAAAACCTAAATAATCATAATTAAATTGGAGAAAAATTGAGACTTCTTTTGAAATTCTTTGTGATAATGATCCTTTATAATCTATTTTTTGTGAAGGTAAGAAACTATCTGATTATTCTAGTGATTTAACATGAAGGATTTAATTAATAAAGTCTTGGTTAATTTGAATTCTGGAAATATTAGATAGATAAAAAAGTGTGTCTATTCAACATTACTAATCTCAATAATGAAATTATAGGAAGATCTATGATTGACTAATTTGAATATGATATTGAAGGACAGTTTTATAATTTTATCTGTATGTCTTAATTATTTCTAATATTTATAGAATAGGGTACTTAATTGGCATTGATTATTGCAATTGATTTTACTGAGAGCAATAAAAATCCGTATCATAGTGAATCATTACATTCAATATCAAAAGAAAGTCAATACTTATAAGCAATTGAATAAGTGGCAAATATATTGATGGATTATGATAGTGATAAAAAAGTTCCTATGTATGGATTTGGAGGAATCCCAAAATATTTATAAAATTTTAATAAGCATTGTTTTCCATTGCAAGGAGAAGCTCATAATTTAGATGATATTAGAAGAATATATGAATTCTCTGTTAAGAATATTAAATTTGATGGTCCTACTTGTTTTAATCCTATGATTAGATAAACTATGAAATGGGCATAAGAAGACTTAAATGCAAATGGAAACTAATATTTTGTATTATTAATTCTAACTGATGGAAAGTATATGGATGAGGATCAAACAATTATGTCTATTGTAGATGCTGGTAACCTCCCTTTATCACTTATTATTGTTGGTATTGGAGATTCAGCAGACTTGAAAGCCATGGATAAATTAGATGGAAATAATGGATTATAAGATACTCTTGGGAGATAAGCAGAAAGAGATTTAGTTAAATATGTTCATTATAATAAAGTTAAGAATGATCAAGGATAATTGGCAAAAGAACTATTAGATGAATTACCAAAATAATTAGTACTCTATAAAACTAAAAATAAATGAATGAAATTATTCATTAATTCTCAATTAATTTATATATATAAATAATAATTTTTATATTATTGTATTCAATACTTTCAAATGGAATATTATCAAGGCATTTAATATATTGTTCAAAAAAACATTAGTTAAATAGAAAATATAATCTAATTCGAAAGTTATGACACTTTAATTAAATGTAATGGTGATTATTTAATTGTTTTCAAATAGAATGAATGTGTTTGTTTAGAAGAATTAATTGAATCAATAGTATATATTAATATATTTGTTTTAGAAAAATAACTATGTTAAAATTTCGATTGGATAAGCTATTATAATATCTAATAGAATTTTGAATTATGTAAAATAATTATTTGACATATAAAAAACAACTCATGGGAATTTGTTAACTAAGAATATTTATATTTCTCTAGATGCTAAGTCCAATAAATTTAATATTATTAATCCATTTTTAGAGATAAGGAAAATTCATTTTGTGGATTATTAAAATCATTTCCCAATCATTAAGAATGAAGATCAGAAAAACATCAAAAAAGCCATTATCAATTTATTGTCTTTATATTAAGAAAATAATTAAATTAAAAATTTAATATCCCAACTAAATTAAAAAGATGGCTTTAAATATTTCATATAATCATTAATATAATTTGAAAAATAGTAATTATTGTAAATCTATTAGATAGATTTGTTGATAGAAATATATAGTAACTAAATCATAATGATTTAATATTAAACTACGAGAAAAGAAAGATGAATATAAATAAAATAGAAAATTTTTATTAAAACATTTATTTTGACTATCAATGTAAATTAAAAGAACATTGGTCCAATTAAAACAAAGATAAAATTTTAAATTCATAAAAAGAAAATTCATCCTAATTTAAAAATACAATATATTAGATTTGCGATTTAATTTTTTTTCCTATTTAAAAAAGTATAATTGGACTATTTTAGATTGAAATTAGTTAAATATTGGATTCAAATAATTAGAATAATTAACTAGAAAGGATTTTTTAATAAATATATCAATATCAAAATCAAAAAATTTAAGAATTAAATTGTTTCGTTGAAAATATACAAAATCAAATTGATTTTGTTTTTTTAGACTAGTTATCATTATAAGAAAAATGTAATCTGAAATTTAATTTATTAACAAAAGAATAGATTGCATCTGAATATCATAAATTATTAGCTTTTGAATTATCAAAAAATAATTGCACTGAAATTGATTAATCAAAAGAAATTTTAGATATAATTCAAATTAGCTTATTTTAAAATGTAAAATTATATATAGACAATGAACTGAAAATTTAAATAATAGAATTTTTGAATGATATGATATGAGATTCATATAATTAATATGTTAGATAACTAAGTTTAACTCTTTCCTTTTAAATTAAGATAATTTAGGTTATATTAGAATTAAATCAACATCATCATATTAAGAAAAACAAGTATATATTCAAAAAAATTAATAAAACAAAAAGTTTTCATTTTTTTTTTATATCTAAATTTTATTATTATTATTATTGTTATTATTATTATTATTATTATTATTATTATTATTATTGTTATTATTATTATTATTATTATTATTATTATTATTATTATTAGATTGAGAATTACAATTCTTTAGTTAGATCAAAATCTTAGATTTCACTATGACCATAATTAATTGAACTAATCATTCCTAAAGGATTCATTGATTTTTCAGACCAATCTTAAATTGAATAGGTATCATTTTACTTATTTTCGTTTCCTAAATTTAATTAATAATAATACCCAATAATTCATCAATGAATTTTAGATTATCTTTAATTTCTTAATGAGAATCTTCAATTCGAGGAGGTGATTTTTATCTTATTTAAGAATCTCCAACTTTACCAAGCCAACTACTAGAGAAACTGGACTATGGTATTGATAATCCTAAACTACATTAAAAAGCTTCGCTTAAAATTTATTCAAATTATTGATCATTTATATCCTAAGTTGGTTATGGAGGTGGCAAAAATCTTAAATCTCTTTCATAAATTAAGTATTGATTTCCTTTTTAACAAACAATCACTAAAATATTTTCAGCATAATTCTATAAAAATTAGAAAAAACTTTAGCATTAAAATCTTTAATAATTAAACCATTCTCCTAATAGCTAAGATAAATCATAATAAAGTTGATTTATACTGATTCCATATTTATGTTTACTTAAAATGTTTTTAATCATTTATAAGACAGTATAAATATATTTTTAATTAAAAGATTCACTTTATTTTACTTCTAAGAATTTATTATTTGAGAATTACTTTAATATTTTTTAGGCAATTTGGAATAATTTAATTTAGCAGTAAAATTATTTCTACCACTATTTTCAATAGAAATGACATCCTTAACACTTTCTATGAAATTCTTCAGTTTTGGAAAACCTAATTCAATCAAATTCAATTCAAAATTGACTCTTTCTTTTAACAATGTAGGTATTTATGCCAACGATACACTCTTAATTAATTATAAGATCATACCCATCAGGATTTTCCAATAACAATTCTATCAATTATTCTTATAGTTCTTTTACTCTTATTTTAATTTAAGGGTCTCCATCAACAGAACTATCAGTTGTATGTTCTGATTTTTCTCTACTTTCTTGTATTAGAATGGTTTTATTGTACCGAATATAATTCTTATTCACAGCCATTTAGACATAAAGTGTTAATCTACCAAGAGATAATTCTCTTAATT